TTAATGGAAGTGTTATTAAATACGAAGTAAAATATACCTGTAAGGCAAAGTTGACCCCCCCCCAAAAAAATGTCACCATGAATGAAAAGTGCACGGCTGCCATCACGCACCAGAGGCTGCAAACTAAAAATTAAGACTATACTTTCAGGGATCATTTCTATAGTTTGTTACTAGAGAAGTTTCTCTGATCGTGTAGAGCACCCGAAACCACGAGGAGGAGGTGCAGTGTTCTCTCCTGAGCGTGAAGCCGGCTTTTGGTGTTGGCATTTGCGACTGCCGCTAGCCATTGATGATCGTTCTTCTCTTCCTTTGGGAGAGTAGGAGGGAGAGAATGCAGTCTGAGTGGTTTTGAGTAGTTCAAGTGTATTATCTTACACTTGTTTTATCTTCCTTTTTTTTGTTTTTGTGTTGGGTTTTTTTTTTTCTCTAAGCCACTGTTCTACAATTATATTTTTTCACTTTATCCCTCACTACTTACTCATTTGAGAACTCTTTACTTTTTGCTCACTAATTCTTAGTACACTGTTCTATCACGGTAGTGTTACCTCGCTTTTTTTTTTAGTGTGTTTTTGTTCACTTTGTTAATTAGGTGGGGTTTTGTTTTATCTTAAAGAAATTAGTGGAGTGTGCAGTTCTTAACCTTGTTTTTATCTTTTTAAAAATTTGCTTTGTTTTGTTTTTTGATGACACCAGGCCTCCGATTCTCCCCTTTTGGAGCTGCTGTTAGTTTTCTATGTCTGGTATTTTGCTTTTGTTTCTTATAAACTATGGGGTTTTTATCTTTTAACACATGGAATTTTTTAAAATTGTCTCACTTTTATTTTCCTTTTAAAAAATTCATTTGAGAAGGAGAGAGAAGCAGGCAGGGAGGAGAGAGGAACAAGGACAGGTTAACTTGTTCCCGTTATGCACTCATTGGTTGCTTCTTGTATGTGCCCTGACTAGGGATAGATCCCGCAACCTTGGTGTATTGGGACAATACTCTAACCAACTGAGAACCCCACCATGGCTTGTGTGGTATACTTTTGTGTCGTTGCCCCACCTTTCCTGATCCTTTGATGGGTCTGCATTTGAGGCAATGGAGTAAATAGTGTGAGTGGCTAGCTTTTTCTTTTTTCTTTTTAATGCACTTCTGATATTTTCTTAATTGTTTTAAGATGGTTTGTTCTACCCACAAAAGAAGTTCAAAACCTAAAGAAAGGTTTGAGTTTATTTGAGCCAAGATTTAGAGGCCAGTTTCAGAAGCAAACTTGCAAAGGATTGAGAAAATGCTCCAAGGAATAGTAGTTGTTTTGCAGTTTATTTTATATAATAGACTGAAAGAAGATGGAAAGAAGGGTACATGAAATCTGGGAAATGTCTAGGATTAGATAAGAAGTAAAAGGGAGAGATACATACTTCTTTTACATTGGTGGGTATAAAGTAGGTAACATTTCACATAACTAGTTTATAGAGGTATGAGGATAAAAGATAATAAGGAATATTGGGGTTGAAAGAAAGAATGAATGTTTTCTACTAGGAACATCAGAGAGCTGTTGTTTGTGTAAGTTTTGGGAGCAGTGTTTTTTTTTAATCCTATTTTTCTCTCCAGCCAGCGCTAGCATCGTCTCAAGAACTCTTGCTCAGTGCCTCCCTAGGTGCTTCCTGGTCCATAGAGAAGCCCTTGGAGGCCATGGTTGATGTAGTATTTTTTAATTCATGAACCCCAGGGATTACCTAAGTCTGCTTCCCTTGACTTTGCTTCCCTCCTGTTAAGAATTATGAATAGTCTGTGATTTTACAGATTACCATGTTACAGGTTTATGGATGAAGGCAGAAGACACAAGATTCCTGCTTCAGAGTTAATCATAGTTTATTACTCATAGCAACAGCAGTAGCTAGAATGTTATTAGAACATTAGCATTTTGGTCTTTGTTCCTCAAACCCCAATTCTCAGAGTCATGGATAGAACTAGATAATACTGCACATGCAGTGGGTTCCTTTGGAGTAGTACCCTGAGCTTAGGGAATCCAACCCAAATCTTTTATAATGGACAGTAGGCCCTTTGCTCCAAAGGGAGACATTATCTTTACTATACTACACAATAAGCATGCCTACAGTTTGCTCTAAAGGGAGATTCTGTATCTTCCAAAGTGTGGTCTTCAAAAAGATAGTCCAGAACAAAGGGTGTTTACTGCCTCACTCCCATGATGCAGAAACATGAGTAATTCATGAATTGTCTTCCCACACTGTTGCTGCTCCTCCTTACTCTTAGGCTTGCTTGAACAGATAAGTTTACCAGGTGCTGAAGATAGATAAATTGGACAGTTTCTATCCTGCAGGTTAAGGAGAAAGTCTAGTAAGGGAGACAGATGTGGGGCCTTGTAAGCTATTTAGAGAGGTTTTATTTTAAGTTCAAGAGCTGGGAAGCTACAGACTTTAAGCAGGGGGATGATTTGTTTTTTAAAAAAATTCAAGAAAATCTAAAGATTAATTAGCTTTATTAAACAAATTTTGAATTGGTCACTTGCCCATCACCAACTGGAAAGGTGCTCTGACGGGTACAAAATAAAAGGTTTTCATAGGAAGCACGGTGGGGCAAAAGAGCTATTGAAACCAGAAAAGTTGGCATTCAGGCTGCCTGTCATCTACCAGACCCAAGAAGCAGAGACAGGAATTGAATCTATATGTGTGCTTTATTCAGAGGGCTGGTGATCCGAGAGGAAGGTGTGTTTATACCCTAACGGACCACCCTGCATCTCCTTGCGAGCCATCCTTTTTATAACAGAAAACAAAGTGTGGTGAGGGGTTTGGAATTCAGGGAAAATTAGATTAAAAACAACAACAACAACAAAACCAGCATTCTTGCCCTGGGAGGAGGGGTCGTCTGTCTCTCCCTGGAACATAATAGTTTGGATACCTCCAGCTGTGCCCCAGGCAGCCGGTAGTCTTTAGTTGCCTTAGCTGCACCCCAGGCGGTCATCTGTCTCTTGTGGAGCACAAAAGTCAATTGCCGTGATTTCCTGGGGTCAGGGTGGGCAGTATGTGCACCTCCTGAAACAACAGCTTTTTCATATGCATCTACCACTTAGGCTTATTAAACTATTTCCTGAAACTAAAATTTTCCAACTTTTGAGTCCATCACTATCAGTGAAAGAAAAGAAATGATAATTTTTGGACTGGGATGTGTTTTCTTAGTGGAAAGAGAAAGGGAAGTTTAATTTATGTAGATTGCCTATTGGACATCTTCCAGGAAACGGGAAGGCCGCTGGTTGATTCTGGGTCAGAACACATACCTGGGTTGCTTGACAGGTCCCCGGTTGGGGGCGTGCCAGAGGCAACCTACCGACGTTTCTCCCTCCCTTTCCCTCTCTCTCTAAAAATATTTTTTAAAACTTGCAATTAGATCAAGTATTAAATCTACGTTTAGTATCAAGGGCTTTTAGCCCTGATGACACCAATTTGGACCTAAGTTGGGGTTTTTTTTTGTTATTTTTTGTTTTCTAACAGATGTATTGTCCTCGTTGTCTAAACACAATTCACAAATTTTATGTATGTACATAAAAATCCCTTGATTTGGGAAAAAATGAACATTTATATGTCTGATAACTTTGATCACAGGACAAAATTTAAAAATAGGGCGCGCTTTGCAGATGTCAGAGAGTCTGGCTTAGGGTCGTCGCTTTCATCCATTTTTACATTTTTCTTGTGAAACGTCATCTTTTCCACGCACCAGTCTAAACTGCGGCGTGGACACGCCGGCGCACTTTATAGTCGTCAGCTTTTACGTAAACGACTGTAAACGACGCTGCAGGAGGGCGTTGGAAAAAAGTGGTGTGTGATTGGCTGTTTAGCAATCGTATGTTAATTAAACTAACAACTTGCACTGTCTCTTGAAGCCAAGAGTATTCAAAATACTTTGTCGAGATTCGTGAATGAAAAGGTTTTTAGAGAACACACCTCAGTATATATTTGGATAAGATAGTACCGTTAGAAAAATTCACCATCACTAAAATATGTGTGGGTTTTGTTCACTTTGGAAAAGCAGGCGCTCTTCAGATTAAGACTATACTTTCAGGGATCATTTCTATAGTTTGTTACTAGAGAAGTTTCTCTGATCGTGTAGAGCACCCGAAACCACGAGGAGGAGGTGCAGTGTTCTCTCCTGAGCGTGAAGCCGGCTTTTGGTGTTGCATTTGCGACTGCCGCTAGCCATTGATGATCGTTCTTCTCTTCCTTTGGGAGAGTAAGAGGGAGAGAACGCATTCTGAGTGGTTTCTTTTTAATACCCGGTTAAGAAAAGGCGTTTTGCTATTGTTGTTAGGGCTTACGTTCGCTGGTACATGTGGTAATTACAGTTACATGCGTGTGATAGGCTTTTTTTTTTTTATTTTGGTACTTTGTTTCACGTAGTTCTGGCTGAGGTCTGTGGAAGTTCGTAGTTGGTAGGTGAAGGGTTCAACTGAAACTGCTCACTCAGTTGAAAGTCATTTTGTTGATAAAAAGTCAGGGTAAGATGGGGGGTGAAAGAAGTAAGCGGTGTCTGAAGTTGGGTTACTTGGTTCTGTTCTTTTTAATCAATTGGCAGCTTTCTTGTTTTAATTGGTACCATCGGGCCTTTGGTTTCTCTAATTTTTTTCCTCATCACAATTTAGCGAGGTGTTAATGTGGGGCCTTGGGTCCTCTTCCCGATCAATACACACTATCATGATTATCCCTGTCCCCGCTCCTTATGCTTTCTGAAGATTAAAAGCAATTTTTTAGCATACTGGGGTGGTGAAAATAATTTGCTTTACTGCAACATTTTGTAAACGTTTATGAAGGCAGTTGCAGTTGCTTTTTAGTTAATCTATGTACTTTTGTGACTGTGTGCCTAATGAAAGCTTTTGTTTTTCCTTTTTTAAAAAAGTTTGCAATAGTAATACATGGAAGTTTTAATTTTTTTCTCCAACATGAGTTTTCCTAGTTTTGTCTCAGGAAATGTCCTGTTATTTGCACTGATCCTGGTATTTGCTTTGCAGGAATTTATGTTGATGAAGTTAACTCTCTGGGCCAAACAGCACTTTTCATTGCAGCATTATTAGGCCTTCCAAAATTAGTTGATATTCTGGTGGATTATGGATCAGATCCAAATCAGTAAGTACAGTAGCATTGCTATCTAGAAAATTAATCATGTATGCTGTTAAAATGAGTTGGTGCATTTGGAAACTAATTTGACAAAATAATTAAAAGAACTTTACTAACATATCAATAAAATACAATTGTATATATATCTTGAAACATCTTTACTAATGAAAGCAGTTTTACTAGGTCCTAAGAAGTAAGCAAAACTTATTAGTCATTCATTGATTAGTGATTAATAGCATGTTTGCATATTTCTACCCCAGGTTATGATTTGTATGATTCATTTAAGCAGTTTAATACACCCCACGACCAGGTTTTTACCACTAAATATACTTAGCATCACTTTGTCCAGGTGATTTTTGTTTGGCTCTTGCAGTTGTCGTTTATAAAGAATTTGTGATTAATAGTTGTTTCAAATTTCAATATGGAACAGCAACACGATGAAATGAATCAACTTCACCAGTGAACATCCCTATTCTTTGTGTAACACTTTTGTTTTTCCCAGGGCCTTCTCAGGCACTAACCCCTCTAGATCTTTGCAGCCCAATCCTCAACAGGTAGGGGACAGCATGTATTTTTACAGTTTACATTGCACAGAACCAGAAACGGGGTTTGATTGCTTATATGATTTACATGATTTGGCCTGATTTTCACAAGAATGCCTGAATATGAACAATCATAAAAGTCATATAGTAGCTTTCCCATATTACATAAGGAAATCCTCTGTAATATACTTAAAAACAGACCATGTTGCCCTAGTTGGTGTTGCTCAGTGGATTGAAGCACTGGCCTGTGAACCGAAGGGTCACTGGTTTGATTCCCAGTTTGGGCACATGCCCAGGTCCCCAGCAGGGGGCATGTGAAAAGCAACCACACATTGATGTTTTTCTCCTCTTCCTCCCTCCCTTCCTCTCTGTCTAAAAAAACAAAACAAACGACCATATTGATGTTGGAAAGTTTTTAAATTTTTTTTCCCTGTTACAAGAGTGCTTGCTTACTGGGAGAAAACTTGGAAGTTTGTTAAAGTAAAAAGAAAGAAAACATTCAGTATGGGAATTCTGTAACCAAGAGATAGTGCAAGGAAAATTTTGCTGTGTTTCCATCTGGAATTTCTCTGGACTGACATACACTCTGCTGTCTCTGCTGTATTATTTAATTTCAAGGTCAGAACTCTAGGGCTCACTTACCTGCTATTTGCAGATAACAGACATTATAGAGACATTGTCACAAGAGAGAAATGGTCTCTGGTTAGGTTGTGCTTCACCAGCCTGACCCCAGGATGCAAGAAATACAGAGAAATTTTTTCAGGACAGTCCATGTCAGAGGTTAGAAGGGGTTAGAACACTAATTTGGAACCATACCCACACCTGTGTGTGACCCTCAACTCTGCCTTTTTTTTTTTTTCCCTCACCTGTACCTTGGGAAAGGATACTGCCTTTAAGGGTACAGGTAAGGATGGAGAAAGGAGATGCTGTAAAGCTCATGTTAGCATAGACCAGGTGCCTTCCAAATGGTATGATGATAATACTTATCACCAAAGGTCGTCTCTGTAGAAAAGGAGCCCCCTGTCACCCACTGAATTCTCCCTGCCTCTGTGGAAGGGAGGAGGGTTGCCATGGACACTCATTGTATCCCTCTAGGCGCTGCTTTGATGGAAGCACCCCTGTCCATGCAGCTGCATTTTCAGGCAATCAGTGGATCCTCAGCAAACTGTTGGAAGCTGGGGGTGACCTTCGACTCCATGATGAGAAGGGTCAAAAGCCACAGACCTGGGCCCTTACAGCTGGGAAGGAGCGCGGCACTGTGGTAAGGCTGGACCCACACTGCAGCCACATCCAAGGCAGAGTACAGGGCTGGGAGTCAGGATCCCAGGGGCCTGAGGTTGGTCCTGGGGACAGCACAGGCTTACAGCCATGTTGCCGTTGGCACTGGACACACAGGTCTGGGCTGTGCCCACCTTCCGGCTGTGGAACCTCAGGCAAGTCTAGAAGTGAACCTTTCTGGTCATTCCTTTTTTGGGAAGGGAGAACAATTATAATTTTGTTTGATCCTTACCTAGTAGTTACCACACATCAGACATTGTAATTAAATTAGTTAAGTATTAACTCATTTTATGTTCACAACAACCCTTCTAATAAGATACTATGTCTTATTAACTGCATTTACAGATGGGGAAACTGAGTCCTGTTGACATGAAATAACTTTCCTGAGGTCACACACTGGCAGGTGTTATGTAGTCTAATGAGGACTAAATAACATAAATCTAAAGCATGAATGGCATGCACTGTACTGGGAATGTGGAAGGAAGTGGGGGGAGGTGGACAGAATTTTCTCCCCTCTCCTCTCCCTCTGGTTCTCCTGCTTATTAGCTGTTGGGCCATGGACAAAGAATTTTACTCTCCCTGCCTCAGTTTCTTCATCTGTTAAAGGAGGGAATTGGAGGACATCTTTGCCAAATCATCTCCCTGAAAACATTCCATATATTTAGAAAACCACTCAGGCCCCTCCCTTTCCTGTCTGGGGGGCTCCTGGTTCCTCAGACCATTCAGCCACTCCACAATTCCACTGAAGGGCTGGTGTTCACTAGTCTTGCCTGCACTGAGCATCTCTGTGGTGTTGCAGGTGGTGGAGTTCATGCAGCGCTGTGCCGTGCACATGCAGGCCATCATCCAAGGCTTCTCCTGTGACCTCCTGAAAAAGATTGACTCCCCTCAGCGGCTCATCTGCAGCCTTCCCCGGTTTGGGGGCCTCATGCAGGGGTGAGTGCAGCCTCAAGCACAGTGGAGTGTTCTGCATCACCCCAGCCTCTCTCATGGGACCCCTGCAGTGGGCCACATAGGGCCTTTCCAGTATCTGGCCCACCCATGGGGATGAGCTCAGAAGGAGAAGATGCGGCCACTGAAAAAGATAGCCAGAGGAGCGCCTTTGGCCGTGCCCCCCTTCCAGGAATGTCTGGGAGAGATGAATTCTAGGCTCCAGTGGGAACCACGCTTTGCTTAGCAGAGCAGGAAATTTTCAGGTCTGGGAAGCTTAGCAGAAAACCCTCAGAGCCTCTGGGTGGCCTCCCCCCCCCCATCTTAAAAGCATATTTCTTTACTACTAAAGTTGCAAAAAACCACAAATGCTTAATTTACAGCCCCTCAGGCTATTTTAAGCTGGTATGAGAGACTAGCAATAGCTGGGTGCGTAGCTGTAGGAGGTGGGCCCCCCCGCTCAGAGTTATTTTAAATTCTTAGGACTCTGTTGACTTAGAGTTTGTGTTCAGAGAATCCTTTTCATTTTGATTTTCTCTAATGGTATCTCTTTGTATAATCAGGATGGCTAGACTTATCACATTCTTGAAGGCTCCCCATCCTGTCCTTTTCATGCACATCCTGAGTCCTGACTTTGCTCTGATGACCTGGATGCCACTGGCCTCTCAGGCGAGATGAGTCAGAGATTCCCTTGAGGACCAGTTACACCTAACTCCTCTCTCTGCTGCTACTCTTGTCAGTCTTGGTTCTTTAGCCAGAATCCAGGACAGTGTATTAAAAATGGACCTTGGGCTGTGTTCCTCTCTGCTATAAACCCCTTTTAGGGTCTTTCCCATGACTATCAGGATAAACTCCCAAATCCCTCATCTGGTCTCTGTGCCCTGCTTGGTCCAACTTCTCCCCACTCTCACACCTCCTGCCCTGCCAGTGTTTGAATCTTGCCAGACTGAGTCCTTACTAACTGTCCAGGCCTAGTTCCTGCTACTACTCTGTAACCCCAGGCTGGCATGTTTCCCCTGTCTGGCTCCACTTTCCCCATCTGTAAAAAGAGAAAGTTGGACAAGATGAACTTTATGATTCTTTCCAACTTTGACCATTTTATTCATTATCTATTGCTGCATAATGAATCACTCCCCCACTCTACCCCCAATTTAGCAGTTTCAAACAACAATGTATGTCTGTATCTCACATAATTTCTGTTGGTCAGGAATTCGGGCGTGGCTTACCTGGGTGGTTCTAGCTTAGGGTTTCTCAGGAAGATACAGTAGAGATGTCAGCTGGGGCTGAAGTCATCTGAAGGCTTGATTGGGGCTAAAGGATCCAGTTTCAGGATGGTGCACTCTCGTGGCTGGGTGTTGGGTTTCCCCATCGGGCTGCTGGAGTGTCCCCATACTATGGCATGCTGGCCTTCTCCAGAGCAAATGACCTAAGAGAGATCAGAACAGAAGCCCTGGGGATTTACCCTTGGAAATCATACCACTCTGTCATTTCTACAATAACGTGTTGGGTTAGCAGATCAGTCCTGTCTGACTTGTGAGGGGCTACACAAGGGCATGGCTGCCGGGAGATGAGAATCACAGGTGCCCTCTGAGAGGCTGCTCCATGATAACAAGTCAAGTATTGAAGACAAAACCCGCTGCACATTCTGCAGATTTGATTCATCATCGTTCTTCTGGATATGGGTGGTTAATCCTTTTTTTTTTTCTTTTAAAAATATTTTTAGAAGCCCTAATGGCTCTCCTAACCGACCACTTAAAGCTGGAGTCATTTCCGCCCAAAATATCTACAGCTTTGGCTTTGGGAAGGTAAGAGGTTGCCAACGACAGCCAGTGTTTGTGGGAATAATTGGAGAGTTACCTGGCTCTGGTTCTGGACTTGTGTCCCTCAGCTTTGTCCAACTCCTCTCCAGAGTGTTTCTTCTTCTCCTTACTTCTCCCTGTCCCAACTCCTCTTCCTCCTGCTCCTTCTCCTCCTCCCCTTCCCCTTCTTTTTCTTCTTCTCCTTTTCTTCTTCTCTGCTTTTGCAGGACAAGTGCATCTTACTGTTGTTGTCCTTACTGAAAAAAAGGTGAAAACCATACAGAAATCCCTTGAGTGACCTCGGACTAGATTTGGGAAGTTTGGAAAATGATCCTTTAATTCCCAAAGAAGGCGCCAAACATGGTCTCCCTGTAGAAGGCAGGGGGGTTATTTGTGATGGGTCTTGCCCTCCCAAAGGTATATGAGTGTTGTTGGAATACCTTTAAAGACTTAACATTTTAAACTGAGGGATGTTTTGAAGAAAAAAGAGTACCTTTTGGATCCTTGAGTCTGCCTGTCAAAGAAAGACAGTTGGGAAATGTTGCTGGGTGGCTGGGTGATGTTTGCCAGCAGCTCAGGCTCCAGCCCTGAGCCTGTTGCTTGTGCCAAAGTAACCTGGGGTGGGATGGGGGAAGGAGGAACATTGGCTTTGGCTACACCCAGACTTGGGTTCTGAGGGGGCTCCAGAGGCACATGAGCCCCCTCAATGCTTTAGGCAGGTGTTTGACCTCTTCCCATGAGTCCCAGTTTCCTTACTAGTAAAAAGGGAAGGATATTAGAACTTTCCAGGGTTTCTAGAAAGATCAAAGGTAGTATAAAGAATAATGTCTCTAGGGGTTTTCAGCAAGTTGGTAAATAGCCATCATTATTTTTATCTGGCTAATAAGATTCTGGAGGTATTTTACCTTTTCTCTTTTGTCCTCACAATTTGAAGCTGTGCTTTGCTTTCAGTTTTATCTCCCAGGGGGATTGCAGGTGGCCTATCTAGGATCATTTCCAATACTTGGAGAAAAGGAAGTGATTCAAGCTGATGATGAGCCTACCTTCTCTTTCTGCAGTGGCCCCTACATGGTCATGACCAAGTAAGCAGGAGTGGCCCATGGGAGTTCTGATTTAGTCCCCTGGGAGGTATGGGGAGGTGTGGGCATTGTGCACCTTCCTCTAGTGTGGAGGGTTTCTAACCTAACACTGAGGACATATGTCCAAATCAAGGGTTTTCAACCTGGACACCGCTGATGATGTATTTGGTTGGATAACCTTTGTTGGTGGTGGCTGTCCTGTGCATTGTATGATATTTAGGAACATCCCTGGTCTCTACTGTAGATGCCAGTAGCAGCCCTCTTTGCCATCCCCCTCCAGTGGTGATTGTAAAGACCAGAATGTCTACAGACATTGCCAGATGGCCCCCATCGAGAACAACTGCTCTGAAGGATTTCTCATGACTGTGTTTTAACCTCCATGTTTTCTAGAGAGTTTGAGCAGCACAGTTGTAACTACCTGGCCTCTGGTAGAGGCCAGAGGGTATTGATGTGCCCATAGAAGCTGGAACGGTTTTAGCTGCAGACCTCACCAACCAAATGCAGCAGAGGCGGCAGTAACAGAATTTGCTATGACAAAAGTCCCTGGGAGATCTTACTTGTCTCCTACGGGGTCACAGGAGTTGTCCTAGCCAAGGTTTCTTGGCCACTTTGAACCTGGACACTTCCCTGCTTAGAAGAAACACCCTTCTGAAATGGCCTCTGCCAGACTCAGACGGCTCTCTGTCTCCTGCAGTTATGTTCCTGTTTTCCTGCGCAGGCCACTGATTTGTCGTCAGGTCCCTTCCTCCTCTCTATCCACTGCTGTGTCCTCTTCCCAAGTCACCACTGTCCCTCACCCAGACTGGCTTCCCCTTCTCCAGACCACCCCTGCCCTACCATTTTCGCACTGCTGGTACCACTGTTTTGCTAAAATACAAACCTGTTTGAATTACTCCCTTGCTTCAATCTTTTAGTGACTTCCACCTGTACTAAGTTCCTCGAGGTACCTTAGGGCCTGGGAGGAGGAGGATGGAAGACCCAACAACTACTTCACAGTTTCTGTATAAAGACTACCGTGATCTCAGGCTGGAGAACTCCTCACTGAAGAACTGGCAGCTCACGCCCTTCTGCTCAAACTCTCTCCTTCCCTTGCAGCCTGGTGTGGAATGGGAGCAGGGTCACAGTGAAGGAGCTGAATCTCCCCACCCACCCGCACTGCAGCAAGCTGAGGCTGGCTGACTTGTTAATTGCTGAGCAGGAGCACAACAGGTGAGAAGGAAGCCCAAGGGCATTACATGTCTAGGTTCTTTATAGACTCAGGTTCAGGGCTGTTCAGGGCTCCCTGGGGTGTGGAGACCAGCTTCCCTCAGCCTCAGCATTTCCTGACTACTGGTTGATTTGACTTCCAAGGGCTGCCAAGAAAGAACAAGAGGAATTAATGAAAAGCCTTCGGGGTAAGGATGGTGGTGGTGAGGAAGTCGGTTCTGTTGGCTGATTGACCCCCTATAACTCCTGTCTGTGATGGCCCAGCCTCTGGGCCCACTGGTTCTCCTGCTATAGCCCCTGAGGCCTGCTCTGTTTTCAGGCCTGTGCCCATCAGGACAGCATGTGCTGCCCTGACTTCATAGACATAGCTGTGCACAAGATCCATACGTTTGAAGGACTGTGTGTCTGCCATTGAGAACCTACCTGTGGGTTGCAGTACCTTAGGGTGCATGTGGCTCCAGGGTAAGTCCTTCAGGTCTTGCTGGAGTGTGATCTGTGGTTCACGCTAGTGCTACTGAGGCCTTGGAATTGACCCAGGCTCCTTGAGCTCCTTCCTGAGAAAGTCACTCAACTCCTGCAGTAGGTGTGTCAGAGGCCAAACCTTTCCCTTTGGGGAAGTCAGACTAAAGGGACCCAAGGAGGCTGGAAGGACTCATAAGCACAGCATGGACTTTGACATGAGACTGAGTGGCATGTGTGACCTTGAACAGGTTCCTGACATCGCCCTGACCTTGGTTTCCTCAATTCTAAAATGACTATAATGATTCATTTCTTGCAGGTGGTGGTTAGGATGGAGGTGATGTATGATAAGTGCCTTGCTCGGTAGCTCTTAGTGACATTGTCATTGATGACTCCAAGCCCTAAGGGTGTTATCAGTGAGGCCATAGATTCCACCAGCTGAGACCCCACCACCCCATTCACTCCATCCTGGTTTTTTTTTAGAAAAACATTGTATGCAGAATGGTATTTATTTAGAATGTGTTCAAGGGGCCTTGAAGAAAGGCACGCACCCATTTTTTCCATCATGGCCTTCTTCCCTTTGCCTCATCTGAAGCTTCTTTTGCAGCAAGTTGCGGCATCCCCACCTGCTGCAGCTGATGGCTGTGTGCCTGTCCCAGGACCTGGAGAGGACCCGCCTGGTGTATGAGCGCATCGCCATCGGCACACTGTTTGGTGTCCTCCATGAACAGGTAAGTGGCTGTTTCCATGGATTTTTCCATTGCTGCCCTCCCTGCTTCTCTTCCCCTTGCCTGTGCAGGAGAGTTCCCGTTTGTGCATGCATGGAAAATAAATCTTTTTTACTGTTGTTCCTATAGTTGTATGCCCCAACTATGCCATAGTTGTATATTTTATTATCTTTAATTTAATCTTTATTGTATTTTTTTCACATCACCATTTAGTTTCCTTATACTTCCTTTCCCCCAGCAATCACTACACAGTTGCCCATGACCATGAGTCCTTTTTCCTTTTCCTTTTTTCCTCAATCTCTCCATTCCCTAACCCCCCCCACCCGCCCACCTACCTGTTGTTCTGCTCTCCATCTATGAGTTTGTCCCCATTTTCCTTGTTAGTTCAGTTCATTAGATTCTACATATGAGTGAATCACATGGTATTTCCTCTGACTGGCTTATTTCACTTAGCATAACGTTTTCTAGGTCCATCCATACTGTCACAAAGGGTAAAATTTTCTTCTTTATTATGGCCAAGTAGTATTCCATTGTGTAAATGTCCCGTGGTTGTTTTATCCCCTCATCGATTGCTGGACGGACACTTGGGCTGCTTCCGTATCTTGGAGATTGTAAATAATGCTGCAGTAAACATAAGGGTGCTTATGTTCTTTCAAATTAGTATTGGAAGATAAATTTTAATTCTTTACTTCATGGTGGCTATATAACACACCATATAGGCTTAAGTGCATTCGAACTACTGTGGTTTTAATTATTGTTAGTCTTGCTTTTGTACCAGACATCTAAGAGCTTAGCAGACCCAGAAGACACACAGACACATACATTTCTAGCTAATTAATCAAATAGCCACTGATCTTATTTCCCTGTGTTTTCATTTGTGCCCTGCAGGACGTTGAGTATAGAGAAAGGCTAGTTTATACACAAGCTTTTATCAGTCTCTTTGGTTTTCCTGGAGTCAGGGAGAGTGTATCTTCTCTGGCTCACAGATTCCCTGATAAGTGTACTTTGCGCTGAGATGTGGCTTCAGAGAGGTCCTGAAAACTCTTTTTCCCTCCATGATTTTGTTCTAAAGACCCTGGACAAGATTGAGAAGAGGCTCTCCAGGAAGGGCCCTGCCCCCAAAGTGGCTAGCCAACCCTCCAGCCTGAGGACCCCCTGTTAGTGTCCTAGTTTCCCTTTCCTTTACTTGGGTGAGGGCATTAACTTGAAAAGCCACTGCTCTGGGAGAGACGCGTTATGACTTTAGCCATCTGGGTACATAGGTGTGAGTGATTTTCTGTCCTCTTAGGATGAACTTTCTAGGTCATCTGACTGGAGTAGGGGCTGGATTGGTCCTTTAAGCTTCCAAGTTCTCCCAGCAGCACAGGTTTGGCTGAGGGTTGAGGGACAGGGCAGATATACTGCTGGTGACAGTGAGCCCACTGTGGATGCCCTTTCCAAGCCTTGAGGACTTTCTCTCATTTTTCATGTTACGAAGACACTGAGCTGAGGGAAAGGAGTCCAGGTTTGGAGCCAGGGGGCCTGGGTCAGTGGGACCTTAAGCCAGTCACTTAGCCTTACTGAGAGTTAGGTCATGTAAAATTGGGACACTAGGTAGCTGTGAAGATCCACTGAAAAAATTTTGGAAGCTACTAAGCATTCTGTAGTGTTGGGACCCAGCCCCTGTATTCCTGGCCAGTTTACCTCTTGCTTGCAGCGGTCCCAGTTCCCCCTGCTGCACATGGAGATGATCGTGCACCTGCTGCTCCAGATCTCCGACGCTCTGAGATACCTGCATTCCCGGGGGTTTATCCACCGCTCCCTCAGCTCCTATGCCATCCACATGGTCTCCACAGGGGAAGCGAGGCTGGCCAATCTGGAGTACATGCTGGAAAGGTAGGTACAACCTTAATCATGATTTCCAAAGAGGAGCTCCCAGGGGACCCTTTGCTGTAGAAAGAGAGAGGTCCAATCTGGGCTGGGCTCCTCCTCATTGGTGGGCCAAAATGTGGGCACGAGGTTTCCCAAATGCTCTGTCTGCCAAGGTTAGAGGGACTCTGGGGAACTACTTCTTCTTTTTTTTTTTTAAGGATTTTATTTATTATTTTTAGAGAGAGGGGAAAGGAGGGAGAGAGGGAAATAAGTGTTGTTGCCTCTTGCTTGCCCCCTACTGGGGATCTGGCCTGCAACCCAGGCATGTGCTCTGACTGGGCATTGAACCGGCCACCCTTTAGTTCACAGGCTGGTACTAAATCCACTGAGCCACACCAGCCAGCGCTGGGCAGCTTACATCTGCTGAGGACATTCTCATTTTAATAAGCAGAAGTGCAGATTAGCCAATGTATGTAAATGCTCTAACTGTCTCCTACGAAGTTTTCAGTGGCTTAAGACACCCGAGGCATGTTCCTCACTCATGTTGCATTCTAGTATGTGTGTTCTGCATTCCTCGCACCCATGACCCGCCATACCCCAGGCCGTAGTCCCCCCTGTGCTGTGTGCATTACTAGTCAGTGAGCAAGAGAGAGTGTCGTGGGGCATACAGTGGGGTTTAATGGGTAGGTCATTGCTTCCTGCTTTGCAGTGGCCACAGCCTAGGATATGTGCCATTGCTGTGCATCCTGGAAGGAGAGGAAGGTGATGGTGTTAAGCCTCATAGTCCTGGACCCAAGTGGTACTAACGATGTTCCCTGCCCTCAGCGGTCTCAGTGCAATGAGGGAGGCAGTGATAAAAACAACACCCTCATTCAAGGATTGGTGGATGGGCTTTGTTTCCTGTTTGACAGGAGTCACATTCCTTCTGAGAGCTGGGGGCTGACCCCCCATTTCTGGCCTGTAGGCTCTGGGAGGCAGAGCATTTCCCCTGCACTTCCTCACTGCCCTTCACAGCTCTGAGCCTTTGGCCTGTGCTGGCTCTCCTCTGCTGTGAGGCCTCAGCTGCTGGGCAGATCCCTTGCTTAGAGCTGCCTACTTCTGCTTACCTTTGTCCCCACCCATCCACAGTCACTGAGGCTCCCCCCACTCCCAGTCTCAGCAGGTCTTTGCTTCCCACACACTTGTAATTTACTTCTCTCACTGCAGGAAAAGCTGGAGGGCAGGCATTTCTGTTTCATCCGTTGCTGTATCTCAGACACCTACAAGGCCTTTGCACAGCAAGCATTCAGCATATGTTTATCGAGTGACTCACTTCCCCGTTGTGGGTGCCCGTTGTGCCTCTGCCTGGGGAGGAGAGCCAGGGCCAGATTGTGCTTGACCTTGTGGGGCTTCATGAAGAGTTTGAACTTTATCCTAAGAACACTGGGATGCCATGAAAGGGTCTTTTCTGAGCAGGATGGTGTCATGAGTCATTTACAAACTAAGAAGATCCCTCTCCCTCCTGTATGTACAGGGGTCACGATTGGACAAGAGAGGCAGGGACAGGTAGGGTGACTGGAGCAGTGCCATGTGGGAACTGGTGGAGAGGCCAGACCACTATCACCAGTAGAGCTGCTCAGCCTCAGATCTGGTCCATTCTCAGTCCCAGGTAAAACCTTTCCGTTTTTAAAATCATTGCCTACAAGACTAAGTCCAGGCATTTTGCAGGTGTGGAAGCCTTCCAGGGTGGGGCTTCACCCACAGTGTGAACCTCATCACTTCCCACTCCCTGCCTGGCCACCTAAAGCCACTTTCCGTCCATGTCATTTCACAGTGTTGCTCCTCACATCTGCAGTACTTAGAACTCACCTGTTTATCCTTTTAAACTCACTTCAGACAGTCTCCCTCTACGTCCCATAAAGCCTGTTCTGAAGCCCTATCCCCACAGCACTTGAGTTGGTGCCACCAGCAGGCAAGCTCTGAGAGGGCAGGGACCATGGCTCATTCATAATCAGCACTCAGCTCAGGACCTGCCACCTAGTAAGTGTTCAGTAAATGTTTACTAAGGAATGGATGAGCCTAGATGAAAGGAAGACTGGAAGTGGTTTAGAACAGGGTGGATCACTTTGGCTGTGTATTTAGGAGCAGTGAGTGGGGCCTAAGGGGCTTTATACTGATACTTGCTCTTGATAGCAAAGGCTTTTCATGGGGGGCTTTGACAGAATCCAGGCTGTTTGCCAGTAATGGAGTGCCATCTATTGTCAACATGGAGGTATAACAGTTTCTTCTGTTTGAGCTCTCAATGGAATTATGAATCCTAGAGTGAAATGGGGCTTTGGAGAGGCCCAGCCCAATCCATCCTTTTACAGATGAGGAAACAGAGGCCCAGGGAGGTGAAGAGATGGTGTGGTAACCCAGCTGTGGCTAGAACTAGGCGGTAGAGGGCGTTTCCTGGCTGTAGGGGCAAGATGGGGTGGATGTTGAAGGTAGGAAGACTAACTAGAAGGCCATAGGGCTGGGTTTGGTGGTGACCAGGAAATCAAAATAGAAGGGAAATATGAGGTGTACTGAGGATCTGGGGTCCACAGGCTTGTCGAGGGAGAGTCTGGAAGGTAACTGGGTAGAAAGGTGTGGATTCTTTTTTGGGCTTGTTGATCTCAGAATGGAACTTCAGACAGAAATGTCAGCAAGTAGTTGCATCCATAACAGTGTATCTATCCTTTAACAGCTGATAACACCAGTTGACTGTACAAGAATCCAAAATAGCTTCCAGTCCCACGTTTATTTTTGGTAACACTCTATTTGAGCAGATTGGTTTCTTGAATGTCAATGTCAAGGGTAACACTCCATCTCTTGGTGTAGAAATAATACAGCAGTTTATCCTGTTATTCAACTTCTTAATGGAATCTTGAGAGCTGGAGTCATCTTTGACAGTGGTGACACGTAGCCACAGTGAAATGTAATTTTAATGACATCAGAGCTAAAGCCCAGAAAAATAACGGCCCTAGAGTGCCAGTCAGAAAAGAAGCCCTCCCTCCCACGCTCATCTAGCTTCAACAGAGAGGGAAGAGGGATTGTAAGAGAGGAAGGTAAGTGGAAGTAAAAGATGAAGAATATAAATCCTGGTTGTAAGTGTCTTGTCTTTTGCTAAAACCTTAGACAGGCTTGAGAGATCTGACAGACAAGTTAGGTGACTGTTGCACTTGGAGAATCACCCACAACATAAAGAGCCAAGCATGCTAGGTCCTCAGAATATGTCACTGAGCATAAAACACTCCATTGCTTTTCCTGCGATATTAATGTAACGTTGGCTTGTGTATCCCTGCTGTTCACACTGTACCAGGCTCCATCTAACTTATTTAGCAATGCAACTAAAAAGTCACTTTCAGCTTTTATAACTTCATGGCTTCCTAAACTCACATCTGTCAAAAGCTCTGCTAGAAGGAATATTATTTAGGGATGTTTATTCAAAGTCTTAGAAGCCCATCTCATCCCGTATAAATCTATATTTAGATAGAAGATAATCTCCCAGGAATCTTTCTCTTTTAACCTCTCTCTGTTCTTTAAGACCCAGCAAAACCCACGTAGCTTGACAACGGTAAACTAAGCAAAGTTTTTAAACTGACTATAGATGCCTCTCTGAGGAGCCCCTGAAGAATTTGTAAATGAGGGGAAAAAAACTGGGCTCCAAGAAGTAAACTGTGAAACTAAACACACCTAGGTCTCTTGTCTGTATAAGCAGTGTTGCTTAAAAACATGGAAGCTCTTCTAAACTCTACAGGACTCTAATGTGAAGGAGTTAGTCACGTACCGGAAGAACTAATGTGGTCTAAGAACTGGTGGTCACTTGCTTTTTAAAAACTTAATTCTTAATTGTCAACCAGCAGTCATCACGTCTTTACCAAATGCCTACAATAATGTCCATGTTAATTCCTAACTTCCATAGTACTTTATTGCTCATAAAGTGTTTCCACACACAGTCTCATTTGATGTTCATGACAGCTGAGTGCAAAAGTCAGTGCTGACCTCACTCTGAGGACTCTTGTCTTGGAATACGTTTGGGACACTCTGACTTGGTTCTCAAGAAGTCTGGTTGGGAAGTTGAGTATTTCTTTTGAAGATTTTATTTATTTACTTTTAGAGAGAGGGAGAGGGAGAGAGAAAGAGAGGGAGAAAAAAAATCAGTCAGTTGCCTTGCACTTCCCCAACTAGGGGCTTGGCCTGCAACCCAGGCATGTGCCCTGAGCAGGAATTGAACCCATGACCTTCCAGTTCGCAGGTCAGTGCTTAATCCACTGAGCCACACCAGCCATGCCTGAGGTGTTTGTTTGTTTGTTTGTTTGTTTGTTTTTAATAAATTTTTACTTACTGATTTGAGAGAGAAACACACACATTGATTTGTTGTTCCACTTACTTATGCATTCATTACATTAGTTGATTCTTGTATGTGCCCTAATTGGGGATTGAATCTGCAACCTTGGCATATCAGGATGATGCTCCAACCAACCAGAGCTATCCCACCAAGGGAAAGTTGAGTTATTTAAGCAAATCTGTGAACCTTTGGGTGCTAAACTGAGGAGGGCTCATTCCTAAGAGGGCAGAGTTCAGAAAAGAAGCAACAACAGGGAGCTGGAGGAGTCCTAGAAATTTTAATAAAGCAGCTGGGGCTTCAGGAGGGTCTTGAAAGATTCTTAGTCAAAAGTCAGCATCGAGGCCCTGGTGTAAGTGTAGGGGGTCAGTGATCAGGTGCCTGCCTGACTTCATGGAGCTGACTCTGGTGGAGGGAGGACAGATAATAAATAATAAGTAAATGAACAAGAAATCTAGATAATAACTGCTCTAAAGCCAGTAAAAGGGGGGCTACATTAAATTAGGTAGTCCAGGAAGGCGTCTCTGAGGAGGTGATTTTCGAGCTCATAATACCTCTGTTATAAGAAGCAGCAGTCATGCTGGAATCTGTGGGCCGAACGTGCCAGGCAGAAGGAGCCACCAGTGCAAAGACCCAAAGTGGTGATATGCTCGGCATGTTGGAGAAGCTGAACGAGGGCCCCTGTGATGTGAGTGGAGTAAGTGAGCAGGAGAGATGAGCCAGATTAGGTGGGAGGAAGGGCAGGGCCCCCTGGGTAGGAATGGAGAAGAATTGGAATTGCAGGTGTTGGAATAGCAGGCAGCTTGGACTAGCTCAGGGTCTAGCTGAGGTTCCAGAAGCTCAAGGAGGTTGCTAGTCTTCAGAGGCAAATGTTTACAAACGTACTGTACAATAGTCACAGCAATCCTTTAAGACATGAGCCCTACCTTGTGCTTCCTTTTGTAGCCAGGACAGAGGTGTACACAGGGACCTGACTGGAGTGCCCCTGCCGACCCCGCTGTACAACTGGGCTGCCCCAGAGGTGATTTTACAGAAGGCAGCCACAGTGAAGTCGGACATCTACAGCTTTTCTATGATCATACAGGAGATTTTAACAGGTAGATCAAAGAGTGCATTGACTATGACCAAAGTCCCTATTCTTAGGTCGGATTCCCTCCCCCCAACCCAAGAGTGACTTAGTTTTATGAAAATGCAGATCATAGGAAAAAGAGATTTCTTCAAGGAAATCTCTTTCTGTTTGTGGAAGATAGAAGATAATCTCCCAGGAATCTTTCTCTTTTAACCTCTCTCTGTTCTTTAAGACCCAGCAAAACCCACGTAGCTTGACAACGGTAAACTAAGCAAAGTTTTTTAAACTGAATATAGATGCCTCTCTGAGGAGCCCCTGAAGAATTTGTAAATGAGGGGAAAAAAACTGGGCTCCGAGAAGTAAACTAGGAAACTAAACACACCTAGGTCTCTTGTCTGTATAAGCAGTGTTGCTTAAAAACATGGAAGCTCTTCTAAACTCTACAGGACTCTAATGTGAAGGAGATAGTCACATACTGGAAGACAGAAGGAGTGCTTCAAGAGAGTGACATGCACACCTCCCGCCCCATACACCCATAAAACCACATCTACTGAGAGGGGTGCGAGTCAGCCCCCACTTAGCCGTGTTCACAGTTTCAGAGGCAAAACCACACCTTCCTTTAGAGGAGTGCATTGGGCAACCCAGCCTGACCCCATGAAATACTCCTATGGTCCCCAGGTCTATCATGTGTACATGACCCTGAGACTACTCTCTCCGGTTTCTAGAGCAGGGATTTCCCTGGTGAATGGGTGAAGTGGCTTTTCATTTGTGATTGGGCTTCCCAGTAGTTTTTCTCCAGAAATTCATGTTTAAAGGGGTTGGGTGACTTGACCAAGGGTACCCAGTTTCATCGGATATCTTCATGTTACTCCTTCTGACTTTTTCCTTGACAGACAACATACCCTGGGATGGCTTAGATGGCTCTGTGATTAAAGAAGCCATAGTCTTGGGAAATTATTTAGAAGCTGACTTCAGGCTTCCAAAACCTTACTATGATATTGTTAAGTCAGGCATCCAGGCCAAACAGAAAGACCGAACTATGAACCTTCAAGATATCCGGTATATCCTGAAGAATGACCTAAAGGTAAGCTCTGAAGCTGTAGGAGTTTATTTCTGCTTGTTCATCTCAGGAGAGTAGGGAGTTAGAGAGCAAAAAGCAACCAGAGGTCAAGTTATAAGAAGTTTTGGAAATCCTCATTTTATTACACCCTTACTGTGTTCCTGAGAAAAGCTTAACTGCCTAATTTGGGGAGGGCAGCAAGGAATTGATGAGGGAAGCCAGGGAGGGTCAAGGCATAATAGGGGCACCCTGTAGGCACAAAGCTAGATTCAGTGAATGGCAGCTATTGTTTAAAAGAATCACAATGAATTAGCTAATTAGGAATACAGTCAGTCTACCCAACAGGAATAAGAGGGACTTTATTTGATACCTAGATCTGTTTCAGAAACACCAGTGACATTCAGATGATTGCAAATATGTTCTTAACAATATTTCCCTTGTCACAGGATTTGATTGGCGCCCAGAGAACTCAACCAACCAAGAGCCCCATGATGCAGAGATATGGACCCCATCCTGATGTCAATGTCTCTCTGGGACTGACTTCAGAACATCCAAAAGGGACCCCCAACTTGGAAGTGAAAGAGCTGAAGGAAGCAGGTATGGCCTTCACCCACAGGTTTTGGCATGAATATGTTCTGAGAGTTATAAGCTGCAACTAATCAATTCTTCCAAACTGTACATGTCACTTACACTGCAAAAAGATGGGTGCCTTAGGGGAAAAAAGAAATCCACATCCTTGAAATTATTATGTTAAAATTTTTTACCTCCATATATATATACCTTGGTTGGATCCAGAACTAAGCAATAGCAAGCAGTTAACATCTAGCATGATACCCTTAGGAATTTATCTAATTGCTTCAAAAATAAAAATGATATCTTAATTTAAAACTATTATACAAAATTTGACAGTACAAAGACTAAAATTACTTACCATTTCAATTCTGCTGGTTAGAAATAATTTGTTAAAATTTGGTGTTTCTTTTTTCCTGTAGCCTTACTGCTTTTTATTTTTATTTAATATTTTATTTATTTATTTTTAGAGAAAGGGTGAGGGGAGGAGAAAGAAAGGGAGAGAAACATCAATGTGTGGTTGTCTCTTGCATTCCCCCTCCTGGGGACCTGGCCTGCAACCCAGGCATGTGCCCTGACTGGGAACCGAACCTATGACTCTTTGGTTCACAGGCTGGTGTGCTTTTTAAAGATTTTACCCTGGCTGATGTGGCTCAGTTGATGAGTGCCAGCCTGTGAGCCAAAGGGTCACTGGTTCAATTCCCAGTCTAGGGCACATACCTGGGTTGCGGATCAGGTCCCTTTTGAGGGGTGCATGGGAGGCAGCCACGGGTTGATGTTTCTTTCCCTCTCTCCCTTCCCCTCTGTCTAAATATAAATAAAGATATCTTAGTTCTCAAGAAGTCTCGTTCATCTCAGGAGAGTAGGGAGTTAGAGAGCAAAAAGCAACCAGAGGTCAAGTTATAAGAAGTTTTGGAAATCCTCATTTTATTACACCCTTTCTGTGTTCCTGAGAAAAGCTTAACTGCCTAATTTAGGGAGGGCAGCAAGGAATTGATGAGGGAAGCCAGGGAGGGTCAAGGCATAATAGGGGCACCCTGTAGGCACAAAGCTAGATTCAGTGAATGGCAGCTATTGTTTAAAAGAATCACAATGAATTAGCTAATTAGGAATACAGTCAGTCTACCCAACAGGAATAAGAGGGAGTTAATAAATATAGAGAGTAAATAAGTATAAATAAAGATATCTGGAGAAGCCTCCAGAATGGCCCCCCAGGCTCCTCCATCCTGTTCTCTGTGAACCAGGGGTGATGGGTGGTCAGTCCTGGAATTACTTACTGAGGTCTTGTTGCTCCCTTGATGCAGTGGCATCTTAGCCAGTGTCTACTTTTATCAGATGCTCAACAAGAGCGTAACTTTACTGATGTGAATATTCAAACCCTCTTGTATATAAAGAAAGCTGTGAATCTAGTCTTTAAGATTCAGGGGTCTATAATTTCCATGTCCTGACTGTTATGCATTTTTTGAAAGTTGAATATTTAATACATTGGTAGGAATAGAAGGAATGCATCAAGGATTAGAATTTTATAATATACATTAGATAGTTATGTAAGTGGTGTTCCATTTTTTTCCAAAGAAATTTCCCCTGTTTCCCTGTCTTTGCTATATTCTTCAAAGCAATAAACAATAATTACTACTCTTATAGATAAACTATTCTGTTGTGTTGGGCAGTAGACATAACTTGGTGTGTCAAGTCATTATCACCTCCAAAACCTCCCTTTCATTTCACTGCACAGCCTCACTACAGTTAGAAAATACCCTCCCCACCTCTGTGAGTGTATCTGGTAGTCTTCCACACCTGGGAAGGGAGGGCGAAAATAGAAAGCTTCTTTCTGTGCTCTCACATCACTTGAGCAACCACCACAGATGCTTAGCTGCTGCATTTAATCATTTAATCATGTGCATGTTACTGCTCTTTTTAACAGGCAGTCAGCTTCATTCACCAAGGGGTCCCTGTTCTCCCAGCGAGAAAGCAACACCAGATCCTTTGGTCTCAGATCCCAGTGCGATGGCTAGGGGGACTCAGAACCAAGATGCTCCTTCTCCTGCTTGCTTTGTGGCAGAAAAGGCCAGGAGTCCCAGCCCAGGTCAGCCAAGCCTCTGCAGCTTCGAAATCAATGAAATCTACTCAGGCTGCTTGGACATGGAAGGTGACAAAGAGAAAGAACCCCCAGCAGTAGGTGCATCCCTCGATGGGGCTAGCCCGGACCAGGGAGATGAGCTGAAGTCCCTGGAAGAGGAGCTGGAAAAGATGGAGAGAGAGGCATGCTGTTTTTGTGACGAGGATGAGAGATCTTCCGAAGCTGACACAGAGCTCTCCTTTGAGGACTGGGACTGGCAAAATGGCTCATTTAGTTCACCCAGCCTACCTGAGGCAGCCAAGGAAGCCAAGGGTGACGTGAACAACCGGTCCATGACCGAGGAGTACATCAGTAAGTGTGTGCTGAATTTAACCATTGCACAGGCAATAATGCGCCAGAATGACGATTTACTGGGGAAAATCGAGCAGAAATTCAATGAGTTTGAGACGATACAGAAGGAGCAGGAGGAGCGCATAACTCTGTGGGCTTCTTCAAGAATGTTTCCTAATGTCCGTGACTTGCCTGCAGCCGTGGGCCCCCCATCTTCCATTTATATTCCTCCTATTTTGCAACTGCCAGGAGGCCAGTGGCCAGATGCTGGTGGCAATTGCCCGACCCTAGCAAGGTCTCCAGGAACAGTGAGAGACTTTCAAGGGGAACATTTTGGCAGAAGGTCCAGGAACAGAAGTGGCTGTAGCTGGAAACCTTTCACCGCTTTCCCTCAAGTCTCTGAAGAAAGCACTGGGGACCCTTTAGAAAAGAGCCATCAGGTAAAGCTCAGACGTGGGAGGTGGGGCATCTGAGCAGGACCTGGAGGTGGGTTGAACGTTGCTTCCAACCCTTATGCAAGGACGGACAGAAGTACAGCCAACTCATAGCAAGGTCCTCTTAGCTTTGGAAAATAAGGCCTCTAGGATGGAATTCCAGAGTAGTAACTCTTCATCTCCCATTCCAAACCCAACACGCAGCTCATGTCCTTTTCTGTAAATTCCTTGCATCAGGTTGAACCATATGAAATTATTGTTTTATATGTAAAAATAATCAAGTATTGATAATTTTACATGGTTCAACTTACTAATTATGGTATCTTGGGCAGGTATTAATCCCCATTCTAAAGTGCTTGTTCATTCAGTCATTCACTGATTCAACAAACATTTATAGAGCCGGAGGGCTATATAGTAGGCCCTGGAATATGATGATGATTCAGCCACAAGCTCTGCCTTTGAGTAGCTCACCCAGAGAGGGACAGAGAGACCTGCTGGTCAAAGAAGATGCCTCAGAGGAGGTGAGAAGACACCTTGGGAGCTGGTCTGGGAGGGTTAGCTTGAGGCTTTGAGAGCGTGTTGCAGAATGGCTCCTCAGCGAGCAACTGAAGGACAGGGCCTAGGTTTTATTCATTCTATGTCTTAACACCTGGCTAGTGTCTGGCACATAGGACATACTTGATAAATGGTCATTGAGGGAATGAATAAATGAATGACTTTAGCAAGATCGAATTCACACATAGAGAGCTGGCTGTCACCTGAATCATAGAATTTTAAAGATGGATCAACCCCACCAAGCTCAGTGACTTAAACTTCCCGCAGTCCAGGTGTTACTAAGGTAGAGTGGAGCAGGAGAGGTCAGCTCCATTGAAAGGAGGATTTTATTACTCAAATTAATTAGAATTGCTGGCCCGTGGTGAAAAAAAGCAGGACAGCTTTTAGTGGGTTTCGTTACTTTAAAGTTATCCACCTGCAGTACACCCCGTCATTGCCTGCACAGGGCAGACCGCTCCCCCGACCTCCACCCCTTGCTCTGCTATTTCCGAGGCCCACAGCTGGCTAGGGACAGGTTTCCTGACTCGTAGTCCAGTGTTCTTTCACTGTGCCCTGCTGAATTACAGTGTGGCTTCAGTCCTCACTGTCCATATGCAAACATATGTACATATGAAAAAGTATTGGCAGTTTTCGTATAAAGAGAAGGCATAAAGAGTTAACTCAGACTCTAATATTTGTTTCTGTGGAAAATTAGAGTTTGCTAGATAACTAATAAAAGTAACTTTTCTTATATGTTGGTTATCTATTGCTGTGTAACTGAAAAACACCCCTCAAATTTAGTGGCTTAAAATAACAGTGGTTTATTATTTCTCACTATTCTGTGGGTTAGAAATATACAGGGTTACCTGGGTGATTCTTCCACCCCTATGGCATGGGTTGGGGTTTCTTCCTCTACTGCATTCAGCTGGAGGTTGGTCTGGATAAAAAGGCTTCTCTTCCATGTGTGGGGCCTTGGGCTTCTCCAGATGGCCTCTCTTTGCACTTGGCTTTTTATTATTAACTAACTAGACTCACCCAAGTTTTTCTACACCAGGGCAGCTGGCTTTGCAAGTGAAAGCTGAAGCTGCCAGGTCTCTTAAAAACGAGTTGCAGCCCTTAGACAATGTTATTTCTGTCTTCTATTGACCAAAGTCAGGAGTCCAGCCAGGACTTAAGGGGAGGAAAATAGATTACAGCTCTCAAGTGACAGTGTGGACAGGAAGGAAGGGATTGATGGTGGGCATCGCCAGAAACCATCTACTAGTGCATGTGGCTATGTATAAAACAATTATACTGTATTTAATTTTTCTTTACAAAGTCTGCTCTGGTTTTTTAACATAATCAAGGAATAAGGCATTTTTATCTAAGTGAATTTTTCAGGCACATACTATTGTGTCTGTTTTATGGATGAGGAAACTGAAGCACAAGTCTCTTTTCAGCTAGTCTGAGTAGGGATTAGACCAGAATCCAGGGCCCAGGATCCCTGCCACAAATCCTGCTGCCTTAATACAATACAGAGGAAAGTTTTGGTATCCTTAATGTCTGTTTTGTCTGCTCATTCTTCCCTCGTATCATGTCAGTACTGGGTTGCTGGGGCCAACATTTCTATGTAAAGACCTCCAGCGATGACATGACATACTACATATGAAACATGCAAAGGGTGTATCTTGGTAGGTGTGGTTATTTCTACACATTTAGCAAGAATGGCTTTAAAAATAGAATGGAAAGTGAAGAGAAGAATTCCTTCATCAAAGTACTGAAGCATGTTTACTGCTTTTCAAGCTGCCAACTCTTCATGGCCCTGGAAAACACAGCACAGGTGAACAACTGCAGCCCACTCAAGGAGCCAAGGACAGTTTGGGAAGAAATAGAAACCAAAATACCAGCAGGTGAGTTAACATTGTATTGTTCTTTGTATCACCATGCCTTTAGATTCCCTATTGACCCTAATGTCACTTGATGATCTTTATATGCCTTAGTGACAAAGGGTCTGTGAGTGATGAAGAATAGTATCACAGGGACAGATCTTGGCAGGTTCTTTCTGTTAAGTGAGTAAAAAGAGCAGTGTAATGAAAACATAGGAGACATCAAAGGTAAAGCATCTGACAGGTTAATCAGAATAACTCATCAGTTGTCAAAAGCAAAGCACCTTGTCTTTCCAAAGCTGTCCAGATGGCTTTTCTTACAAAAGTAAATGCCAGGTATTCCATTTCCCAGCGCTCCATAAGCCAAACTATTTGGTTCAAAATAAGTGTCAATGACAGGAGGGCAGAAAGAAGGGATTGAACAATATCGCTGTTACCATGCAACCTTGATTTCCAGCTGGATCGATCAGTGAAGTGACATAGTTTCAGCACCAATCACTGGAAGGAGAGCATATGTGTACCCTGCACTGGGGGAGTTATTAAAGGATTGATAAATGTTTTTCAATATAGATTAACATGTCAGTGGCAGCATTTATCCACAGCTTTGAAATCAGTTCTGGAAAAAAAACTCCTCCCCTAGTGGTGATTGAGACTAATGACAAGAGTTTGCTGCTCTTTTTGTGTTGGTATATATGTACATTAGGAGAGACTCAAGGAAAATGCCCAGACATTTTAGTTTAGTGTATTTTACCTTTAGGAAGGGAATCACCGAAAAACCACCTAACTGACATCAGAAGGCTTAGCACTTATATCATTGATAGCAGCAGATAGGATGCCAGTATAAACCATTAGATGACAAAGCAAAAGCTGTGGTTGTGGCCTTCCCTGCCCAGCTCTACCTTCTTCTTCCAAAAGAACCAAAAAAAAAAAAAAAAAAGAAGAAGAAAGAAAGAAAAGAAAAGAAACCAAAGTTTAACATTTTGCTACCAATCCACCTAGTCGTTTTTCTATATGATTTTAAAAATAAAATTATATACATATATATCTTTATCAAAAATTAAATTTATTGAGATAGCATTGGTTAATATAAATTTATGATCTACAACTTTATACTACATGTATATATCTTGATTATATCCCGATTATATTATTTTAATTATAACATTATATCCTGATTTTTCACTTTAGATTAGAACATGAGCATTATCCCATGTTATCAAAAACACCCTTGTAATGTAAATTTATTTTGAAATTGTTGGATTCCCCCCATTATTGAATTTTAGGTTGTTTCATTACTTTTTCTGTTACGAATAGAGCCACACTGATCTGTCAGTAAAGCTTTTTCTACATTTCAGATTAGGTCCTTGATAGGTTCCCAGAAGCAAAGTTACTATAGTGGTCAAGGGTTTGGACATCTTAAAAATTCTTGATAGATATTGCCTAATTGCTCTTTAAAGAAGCTGATCAGTTCTGACTTTTCCAATGCAATAGTCTCTGCACTCTAGTCCAGTGGGAGAATAGGGCATTCCAGATAACAGGGAATTCATGTACATGACACAGATCACACATTTTCTAGAGTTAGTTTAAGAGGTGATAAAATATATATCATCATGGGCTATTTAGAGGAAAAGAGACTCCCTTATTTTGCAGGTGAGGAAACCTTGGTCCAGAGAGATTAAAGTTTGCCAGAGTCAGACAACCAATCACAGGTCAGGATCTAGAACCCAATGAAACTAGGCTAAAGACCTCTGAATGTCTTTAAGATCCCTGGTGCCTTAAGTCCATCTTTACAAATGTTAGTTATTGTGCTATCGCTGATATGCAGGTGGGCCTGTTACCAGAAAATTCTGATCAAAGGGCAGGAACAGTTACTGAATCATCACTAGTTCTCTGTGGCTTTGAGGGGTACAGGGGCCTCTGCAACAGTATAGGGACCAGGATTCTGTCTGGTGGAACTATTTCAATTGTGTGTTTCTTCTACTTATAAAAATTACCCAAGAGCACTTTTATTTTGAAATCTAACTTGAAAACTAAACAAAAACAAAAACAAAAAAAAACCCCTAGAGATCTTCTAACCCAATCCTTTAATTTCTTAGCCAGGGAAAGCTTAGGGGTGAGTCCAGTGCCCAAGCCAAAGTGACACAGCTGAACAGTGCACTCTTCACTTTGTCCAACCACCCAAAGGGACCTCCGTTGACATCCATCCCCATCCAGGGGTCTACCAGGTAAGGAGTCTCACTAGCTGAACATTGGGGAGCCTGGTGCCCTCTGGTGGCATGAAGGAGTCAGTGCAACTCCAGAAACGGCTCAGAGAACAAGACCGTCATCTGGGTGAGCTGGTATGTCAAGAACTTGAGCAAACTGACATGTTTGTATCTACCCTGCTCCCCTCCCCCTCCAAAAAACCTGTACAATTTAGGATCAACATGGAATCTGTGCCTTCTGAAATACACAATGCAAAGTCAAGAAAGAATGAAGATGTTGGGAAGCTACACTTAAAATGGAGAAGTGAGTATAAAGTCATGGGTTCTGTTGGACAAAATGAAATTTAAAGAATATGTCTAATCTGGCTGTTATCTCTAAATACACAGCCTGTGTTGCACTCATTTTTTTCTTCTCTTAGATCATTCCATTTCAAAAACAAGGGCTTTCTGATTACTAACTGCAGAAGACAAATGCTTTTTTTATTCCTAAGCCATATAAAAAATATTTCTTTTTTTAAAAAGGGCTTTTTAAAAATTTAATTAATTTATTTTTAGAGAGATGGGAAGGGACAGAGAAAGAGAGGATGAGGAACATTGATGTACAAGAGATACATCGACCCACACTAGGGAGCTGGCCCACAACCCAGGCATGTACCCTGACTGGGAATAGAGCTGGTGACCCTTTGGTTCACAGGCTGGCATCCAGTCGACTAAGCCACACCAGCCAGGGCAGAAATATTTCTATTATGTATTAATATAATATAACAAGTATAGTAAAAATATACTATATAGGTATTTAATATATGTACCATTATTAAAGTAGAAAGCATCACTTTGACATATCCTGTGGGCATTAGCCTTTTGTATCAGTTTTATCTTGTAAGCTTAAAGGATACTATGTCCACTTTTTTTTTTTTAAGATTTTTAAAATTTATTTTTAGAGAGAGGGGAAGGGAGGGAGAAAGGGAGGGAAAGAAACATCAATGTGTGTTTGCCTTTTGCGTACTCCCTACTGGGGACCTGGCCTGCAACCCAGGCATGTGCCCTGCCTGGGAATAGAACCAGCAACCCTTTAGTTCACAAAGTGGCACTCAATCCACTGAGCAACACCAGCCAGTACTCCATGGTATTTTTGTTTTGTTTTGTTTTAACACTAATGTTAAGTGACATTAGCAAAAGTATAGAATATTTGAATGAAAACACAGACATATATATATATGCATACTCCCAAAATATGAACTCATCATGGCCTAGAAAGGCTAAACAAACTCAAATCGAGTCTTGTAGAATCCCTACAGACTTCATATGTCCCTCTGTTTTAACATCTTCACAGCAAGTAGGTCCCTCTACAAGTTCTCTGCTGCCTGGGATTCAGCAATAAGGACTGTAACTAACTGAAATTCTTTTGCCCTGTCCTCACTCCGTCATCAGTTCTCTCTTCCCCTCCCCTTCAAACAAAATAGGGTAAGCTGAGGGTGATACAATTCTTAAAAAAGGCACTTATTGTGACAGTATGAACTATGAAAGTATTATATAGATCTCTGAGAATCAAAACTTTCAGCTTTCATTTCCTATGTTCACAGTGCTGTTTTAACTATGACTTTCTCTTGTACCCAGTGGAGGTGAAAGAAATGGCAGAGAAAGCAGCTACTGGGCAGCTGGCTCTGCCTCCTTGGCATCCGCAGAGTAATCTGGCTTTAGAGAATGAGGCTGAAAATGAGCCTGATCCCTTGCGGAAGCCCCCAGTTATGGACCCTGACAATGTGATGTGGCAGCGTGTTGTAGAGTATCCCAGGAAAAATGATGAGCCAGGAGAAAATGACAAATGTGACAAAACAGACAACAGCGACCGTGATAATGACCAGCATGGCAGTCGGTGTGGGCCTGGAAGTTTCACCAGTAAGTTCAGTTGAAGGAATTGCAATAGGTGAACTCTACCAAGTAATCAGCTCTCAAAAATATGTAAATTTCTTGGAATAGTTCCTTTGCTTGGTCTCCTCTCCTTCTCTCCTGAATTCCATGGGAAAGGAGGATATCCCTTTGACCCCACTGTCCTTTCTGCAAGTAAAGAAACCCAGAGATTCATGAGATTTTCTATTGCTGGAGCCGACCCATTTTCTCAAATAAAGTAAAAAAATTCCCATGCACTGAACCTGGTACTGGGTGTAACCTAGCAAGGAATTGAACCTTCCTTACCTGAGAGCAGCGGTGGACAGCCTCTCCCTACTGCTCATTTCTTTGCATTGCATTTTAAGCTGGAAAAATTTTACTGACTCCTAGAGAGTCTACACCTGAGGAACCTTTGGCTATCATCGCTTTATAGATTTGCAGGTTAAAACTGAAGCCTGTGTACTTCCACCTGGGAGCTTGCTTACAGTCAAGGCATGCGATATTATTTCACAGTTGTTTGCAGGTCAAAGATAGGCACATCTAAAATCATTTATTTTAGGTAGAAAACCTGTTGGCCTAGGTTTCGTTGGTGTTTAAAATCTGTTCCTTGTCAAGTTTCACTCTTGACTGGGTGAACAAAAGGGTAGGTGAACAAAAGGGTAGGTGATCTGGGGCTGCATGTTGTGGCCAGGCGAAACTAAGTCTCCACTCCCTAGACCAAAGCTGACCTGGCCCCCTGGGCCATGGCGACCCTCGGCAGAATACACATGCACCTCTTCTCTCTCTCTGCCCTTCGCCCTTCCATGCTCTCTTAACACCACTGAATGACCATGGCCCTGTTTGTGTTATAATCTTTAGGTATCAGGCACCTGTGTGCCACAAAAAGTGAGCAACCAGAGTGTAATGAAGTCTTTCAAGCAAGTTCTGAAGCATCTGTGGTCATTGAGAAGTCTTGCAGCGTGAGTAGTATGTTCTGGAGAGCCAAGTTGAACCCGAGGACCTAATAAAGTGGAACTGGGTTGTTGTTACGCATTATGACATTGAAATGATATCTGCAGTGCTTTCTTTTGTTGTTGGAGTATGTGTCCTCATGTCTTTGACATGAATGAAGAAGGCTTTACCTCCCTGCCTATTACTTTTTGAATCAGTTGAACACAAAGCATTGTGTATTTTGGAGGCTGAGGGCAGCACAGACAAGCATCAGATTCAGCTCTGGCTCTTGAGCTTCCCATCTAATTTGATAGACAAGACCAGCTCTCAAAGTACAGCATGAGGTTAGAGCCCAAAGCTGGTGATCGGAGAAGGAAAAGCAAGGCCAGGATTGTGATGAGAGGTCCCTTACCTGGAAGTCCTCTGAAGCCCAAATTCAGCTCTTAACTCAGTGGAGGGAATATGTTCCTGCCTGACAACTGAGCCTCAGCAGGATCTGTGAGGTTCAGTCATTTTCTAGCGTTATCATTGAGGTTACAGCTTTGCTGCAGGGGTTTAACACATCCTTGAAACCTGCAGCTGGGTCACAGTCCAGCCAGACTGAGGAACCAGAAATTTTTATCATCATTGACATGGGGCCACAATCACTTAAAGAATATAACTAGCAATCAAGAATGAAACAGTATGAAAATAAAATTTTGATAACATTTTAGGTCTTTCAAAGAACACACTATTGTATTTTATCATTGCACATAAACCACTCACAGGATAATTTATTTCTTCTATCATGTGATGACTAGAAGGATGTGCCATATATTTTTTTTAAGATTTTATTTATTTTTTAGAGAGAGGGAAAGGGAAGGAGAAAAAGGATGATCAGTTGCCTCTTGTGCGCCCCCAACCAGGAAACTGGCCCACAACCCAGGCGTGGGCCCTGACAGAGATGCGAACTGGTGACCTTTTGGTTTGTAGGCCAGTGCTCAAGGCCCTGAGCCACACCAGCCAGGGCAAGATGTGCTGTATTAGGCAGACTGGTTTACTAGAGAAACAAGTCTGTCAGGAAAGTGGTGAAGGTATGGGAGGCCAGGCTCGTCTGAGAAGTTTCAATTTGACATGAGAGGACTAGCAACTGCTAAGTGCCCAGGAAGAGGAAGTGAGTGGCAAATGCAGTGTCCAAGGAAGTCAACTATAAAAACTCTGCAAAGGGATGATTGAAGGTGAGGAAAGGAGCCAGTTGTCTGTCATGTGGGGATCAGGACCTGAACATATGGAAATAAGCAAAAAAGGAAGAGGTGGAGTGGAGATGCTGAAGAAATAACTGTTAATGTTAAAATTTTTCATTTTTATTTTTACTATTGAGATTGCTATTTTAAAAATCTTTATCCTTCACTTGCCTTTAAACTGTAACAACACCCAAGGGATTCCCCACTTCTGAGCAGCCTCAGCCTTCTCCCATGGAGGACGATGCCAATACATGGACTGTGTTACCTTCATAGCTCACTCTGGGGAAGGAGAACAGAGGCAGGTGTGCAAGCAGGCAGGAAGGACCAGCTCAAAGAGTATCACCCTGACTGCTGGGTTATTTTATTTTATTTTATTTTATTTTATTTTATTTATTGATTTTAGAGAGAGAAAAAAGGAGAGAGAGACACTGATCTGTTGCTCCACTTAATTATGCATGTGGTGATTGAATCTTGTATGTGCCCTGATGGGGGATTAAACCCGCAACCTCGGTGTATCAGGTTGACGCTCTACCCAACTGATCACCCAGTCAGAGCCTTAGATAATCACATTTTTGACACTACATCCAACTGCGAAGGGATTTCTTTATGAAGAACACCAATTTAAAAGTGATTTCCTGCATTACTAATAGGATCAGTCCGAGCAATCAACTTGTTCACCAGAGTCTTCTGAGGACATAACAGATGAATTTTTAACTCCAGACAACGAACATTTCTACTCCTCGACTGCTCAAGAAGACTTAGCTCTCGAGGTAAAAATTTACATTTCAGAGTAAGGTACATTTTAAGCTTTCTCCAGTGCCTTATTTCTTTTAAATTATTTTTACTGAGGAAAAATAGCCTACACATAAAATTACATAATGTCGATTTAATCAGTGTTTTCATGACCTTTGAAAAAAGATCTGAAAAGTAAGACTTTTGAGAGCAGAGGGATCAAATGTAATTTCTCCCAAATTTGTGATTTTTGCATTTATTTGTACAGCACTTTTTACTTTTTTTTTTAAGCTTTTTTTTTCCATTTTACCTAATTTATAGATCATTTCTGGGGACAGAGAAGATCTGCTATTATTCTTTCTTTTTGTTTTTTAATCAAACCTCTTCTGAGGATACCTTTAATGATTTTAGAGAGAGAGGAAGGGAGAGAAAGAGAAGTATCAATTGGTTGCCTCCCAGATGCTACCCAGCCAGGGACAAAACCTGCAAGCCTGGTATGTGCTCTGACTAGGAATTGAATCCATGACCTTTTGGTACATGGGAGCCAGGTCCTGCTATTATTCTTCTGTGTGAAGAAGAACTGGTGATCCACAGATGTGGGGAATTAGCCATGGTCTACCAAGCTTTAGTGAGCGGTTGGAGAGCCAGGATTAGAGCCAAGGGTTCAGCAGCAAATATGAAGCTGTCCAGTACACCAGGCTTTCTTGGGAATCTCCCTAGCTTTTGCAAATACCTATTTGTACAGAATATTTTTATTTATAAAGTGAAACTCATTGGATTCCCTTATTTACTTATATAATTTCTACCTTACCTCCCCACTAATCTGCCACCTTTTTTGGATCTTTTATTACCAGTATGGAAGGTGGGGTAGAGGAAAGGGAAGATCATACATGTCAATTATAACATTTGATGGATAAGAATTTAGTGATACATCAAAAAGCATCACTTCTACTTGTCTATACTTTTGAAAACTCAGAGCAGTTTTCTATTATTCTTTAACAATTCTCGATTTTACTGTGAGCAGACTGTGACCTTATAAAAATTTTAATAAAAAAATATAAAGTATGTATACATTAATATATACACATATAAAAAGTATAACTCAGAAAAAAAATACAAATCTTAATTGTTTAGCTCATGAACTTTCACAAACTGAACACATTCATGTGACCAGCACTCAGCTCAAGAAACAGAACATTATCGGTTCCAGAAAAGACCTACTTTGTGCCCCCTCCCCATCATTGCCTCCCCTCAAACCAGTGTTCTGAATTCTTATCCCATGAAGTAACTTTGCAGTCTGGGCCATTTTCCAGCTCTTTGGCTCTTCTGATAAAGCTTCCAGGAATCAAAACATCTTTGTTGGAAGGTTGGGGGAGGAGGGTATAATGATGAAGGGAATGGTCACATAATTCCTCCTTAAAATGGAAGGTGGGGGAGTCGTTGAGAAGTAATATATAATACAAATAAGTACTTAGTGTCTGCAAAGCAGGCTTGTTATTTTTCTGTAAAAGATGCAGGAATCTTACAAAGATTTTCAAGGTTTAAGAACAGCAGGAAATTCCCTCTCAACCTTTTGATGATATGTCTGCCTTCATTGAACCTCCTTTCTCTCTTTTGTAGACCTCAAGTCCTATAGAAGAAGATTTTGAAGAAATAGAAGATGCATTTGCCCAACATCAAGGCTCTGGTAATAAGCCATTAGGGCAGATTCCTTTGAGAATCACTTACCTTCACTTTGTGTCAGAACACAGATGTTTAGAGCTGGAGAGGTCTTTAGAGATAATCTCCTCCAGTCTTTAGATATACAGATGAGAAATCCTAGCTCATTGATTTCCCCTCATTAGAATAAATCTCATGCTCCTGAACAGCCTCAAGACGTCCATACATCTTGTCATTTATACCTCCCCCGGAGTTCTTATGTCTTGTGTTGTGGTTGTTGCTTCTTTTTTTTTCCTCTAGTCTTTCATAAGAGTTCAGGCTCCTTCATGGAACATATTAGTTTTTTAGTTATCTTTGCCGAGCTGACCCAAGGGGTTTGCCCAAGGCCACGCAGCTAGTTATTCACACAACAAAAACTAGAAGTAGGTTTAAGTCCTTCTTGACCCCAAAAGGCAGAGTTTCACCATCATTTTCCTTTCCTTGAGAAGAGTTAATAACAGCCAATAGTGCACAGTTAGCATAACATCCTTCCCTTGGGAGGCCTTAGGTTCTCTATAGCTTAGCCATTGCTTTCGGTTACATAGGAAGTTAACCTTGGATCAGCAGCCAGGGTTTGGCACAGGACAAGATATAAGTAAACCACTGATTCTGATACAGACATTTTAAAAATTGTATACTTTTGCTCTTTTAAGGTGTGCAACCATATATTCTAAAACCAGAGTCAACCAATCCACGTAGCTGTCCACAGTCATGTCTCAACACTCTTAACCCAGCCTTGCAGGGTGGGCTTGGGTCCGGAACTCACACACTCTTCCTCCTGCTGCACATGCCAGTGTCCACCTCTAACCTGATCCAGTCCCAATCACAGTTGGGAGCATTTTAAGGAGCTCTGAGCTTTTAGATGAACAGTTAAATTGTCAGAATAATATGCATTATAAGCCCCCAGACCTAGGTCTTGGGCCACACACTTCTTTCTGTGGAGCCTCTGCCCCTGATTGCTTCCTGGGTGAGCCTGGCCTGTACTTGGCTGCTTTGCGTGTGTTTAGAAGAAGCTCGAGTGGCGTAGAGGAGTTGTGGGGCAGACAGGTCAGAAAACCTGGGCTAGTTTGATCCAAACATCTGCAGTACATGAAGAAACCTCTGATTTCTACTTTCATTCTTTCAGCCCTTCCCTTCCCCCTTTTCCACTAGAGCTCTGATACACCTGCTGTACACCAGGTGATGAAATGGGTAACAGTTGGACACATGCTGGATTCCAAGCCCAGTTCTGCCACTGATTTCTTTCCCTGCATAACCTTGGGCAACTCACGTCACTCCAGGGCCCTACTTTCCCCTTGTATAAAGGAAAGGAAATGGTCAGATTCTAAATTCTCATTAGAGTTCCCCTCCTGCTCTAAATTGTGCTTATTAGGAATTAATTTATGCTTTCTAGGTATTTGAAAGAGGGTCACAAGAAGAAAAACCCCAATGCATCTTCACTGGTGGGGTTTCAGAGCTCCTTGGTACCTGCTAAAGGGGGCATTGTTCTTGTGGGCCCCCTCATTGCCCACCAGACTGCATGAACCTCAGGAATGGCAGGGGGATCGTGAGCATGTGCTAACAGGGCGGGCTGCTCTGTCCCCCTCTCTGTAAACCCCAGCAGTACAGTGATGGGAAGGAGCAGGGATACTGGCCCTGTCTGCCCAGAGGACTGCACAGTGTCTCACTGAGATTTGGGGTGGGCTAACTTAAGACATTAGATGCCAAGGAAAACAGAAGATAGTGAATTAGCTTTTTAGTACTCAAGACCGCACCCCCACTCCTTAAGTGATATTTGATGGCCAAGAGGCACAGTTAGCACTCTGAGAAACCCCAGCTAATGGCCTCTTCTATTTGGAATCTTGAGTGAACAAGCAGCTCTTGGTTTCAACGCCCCCTGGTGTCTGTTGACCGGAACCAGGTCAGTTTGCCTTCCTGACAAGACAAAACAACATTTGTCTCCAGAAATAACTGTGGTTATAACTGGAAGGCCAGTAAAATGGCTTGATTGTATTCTGAGTGTCAGAGTTCTCCCCTCTGAGCAAGGAAAATAAACTTTCAGAGCAAAAACCTCTTCTCAGCACTCAATCCAAACCCAATTAGGGAACGCTTTTGTTTATCAAGATTATTTCTCATTCTGGATAAGTCCAAGGGAAATTGAAGGGAATGAAAATAATAATCTGAGTTGGCCAAAATTCTGTTAAAAAGTGCATTTACTTTATTCTTTCAGGTGAAAGAATGGTCCAGACTGGAAAAAACATTGGAAAGAATGCTGAAGTTTTGACCAGGTCTCAATTCCAACCTCTACAAAGGTAATGTGCTATTATTTTATTCATAACCTCAGACTCATAGAAGTAATGTTAATTGATGACAATGCCCCATATTTGTATATTCCTCATCTTAAAATGTATTAGCCACCATGGTCTAAAACTTAGCTTTGGCAGCTTAGCTTTGCTAGGACTTGTTTAGCTGAATTGTGAGGGGTCATGAAAGGCAGTCATTATCTGTATTCAGATTTTGACTGTCTTTCTATCCATGTGACATTGCTCAAGTCTCAATCCTTTTCTTCTGTTTCCCTATTTGTAAAATAGGAATAAGAATCCTTTTTGAGAATGTTGACATAGAGATTAAAAGTAATAATATAACTCCTGGGCATTTAGACCAAAGAAATGAAGACTTATGTTCACAAAAATACATATGTGAAAGTTATAGCTACTTTTTTTGTTGTTGCCAAAAGCTGGAAACCCAGGTTTTATCTGACAAGTGAATTATTTTAACAGGCTGAGATACATCCATACCATGAAATATTCTTCTGCAATAAAAAAGAATGAACTATTTGTCTTTCATTTTTAAACTTCACTTTAATTTATTTTTTACTTTTATTTTATTTTTTCTTATATGTGCCCTAACTGGGGATTGAACACACAATGCTGGCATACATATAGGGATGATGCTCTAACTAAGTGGGCTACCTGGCCAGGGCGGGCTGGCTGGCTGGCTGGCTGCTTTATTTATTTATTTATTTATTTATTTATTTACTTACTTACTTATTTATTTGTATTGATTTTAGAGAGAGGAAGTGGGGGAGAGAGCGAGAGAAACACTGATTTGTTGTTCCACTTATTTATACCTTCATTGGTTGATACTTGTATGTGCCCTGATCAGGGATCGAACCACAACCTTGGCATATGGGGGTGACACTCTAACCAAATGAGCTACCTGACCATGAAAAAGAATGAACTGTTGACACATATGACAAGCTGGACAAATCTCTGTTAGCGATCATTGGTTACAATACTGCCACTGTGCAAAGCTGGATAAATCTCTAGAGAATCCTGCTGAGTGGCGAAAGCAATCCCAGCAAGTTATTTACTACATGATTTCACTTACATAACATTTTTGAAATGATAAAATTAGAGAAATAGAGAACAAATGAGTTATTTCTAGGAGTTAAGGAAGAGATAGGGAGTGGGCAGAAAGTAAACAGGGCTATAAAAGGGCAACATGAGGGATCCTTGTGGCGGTAGAAATGTCTCTATCTTGACTGTATCATTGTCCATATCTTGGTTGTGATACTGTCCTGTAAATTTACAAGATGTTTCCATTGAGGGAAACTAGGTAAAGTGTGTTTCTTAAAACTCCATGGTAATATACAATTATCTTATAGCAAAAAATTTAATTAAAAACCTAATAATAGATGTAAATAACATTTAACTTACTTTTGCCCACTCTGGGCTTCAGCCTTCTTTTCTATAATAATTATAGTTACTATTTCCTGTGCAGCTACTATATGCCAGATACTTTGTTTTGTCAAATTTAATTCATATAACAATCCTCTGAGGTACCTACTGTTATTTCCATTTTGCCAATAAGGAAAGCAAAGTTTAGAGAGTTTAAGTATTTTTTCTAAGGTTGAACAGTTAGTAAGTGGCCATATCAGTGAGGAGAGGCTAGGTTATGCTACATAACAATCGCCAGGTTTTAGTGGCTTAAAACAGTGGAAGTTTTTTTTTGCTTATGCTCCATGTCCATCATGGGATGGCCAGGAGGGGTCTGTGCCGTATTGCCTTCTATCAGAGATGCCAGCTGAGAATAGGCTTCTTCTCTGTGCTTTCATAATTGCTGAGGTGGCAAAAGGGGACATGGTGAATTGTGCACTGTCCTTTAAAGTTTCTTCCCAAGAGTTGCATCGCTTTTACTTAATTTCACTGGTTAAAACAAATCATATGGCTATTTAGGTAAATTAGGAGGGCTAAAAAGTGCTGTCCTACTGTGTGCTTGGAAGGAGAAACAAATATTTTAGTGAACAGAATTAGTCACAACTCACATGCAAAGCCTATACTCTTTCCTGTTTATTATTGGCCGCACGGGGTTACTGCAAAAATTAAAAATGTGAAAACATGGAAGGATTTAGCATGGGATCTGGCTTATGGTTTGTGTTCAACAAGTATTGAAATTAAATACTAAGAACTGGTTAAAGTAGAAACAGGTCAAGTTTGTCTTCACTATTTCTTTCTGGCCGTTTTTTGGCGCAAGCCTCCCTTGGCCTCTCCTGATACTCTGTGTCAGGAAGATGTCTCACCTGGTCAGGCCCTTTGGCGGTTCCTCTTGCTCCAGCCTCCATCGCCAGGAAAGTTCGGTGTTCCATTGACTTCCTCTGGAACTTGCTCACTGCCCCATAGCATCAACAGCTGATTTCAGGTGGGCTGATCCTTAGAGAGTATTTATTCAGTCTCTTAAGAGGAAACTGAGGCACAGAGCAAGGCCCAGACATGCCTGAGAACATATAGCTAGTTGGTAGCAGAGCAAGGACCAGAACCCACGCTTTCTTCCTCTGCGCTTGGTGCCCTTCCTGCTGCTTCTCACGCTGGTCCCTTGTACCAATTTAGTGCACTCAGCTGACAGGAAATTCATATAATTTTCTCACTTGCTCTCTTATAGTGAACAAGGTGAACAAGAGGAGACCTTAACGGAGTCACCAGAAGAACCAAAAGGGAAAGACATGTATGGCCACTGAAGGGTTGCCTAAGGATACTGTGTAAAGTTTTGGTTTGAGGGGAATAGTATTTCCTTGTCTGTAAGAATCTACAGTTTTCCCATCTTGTGTGAGACTGTTTCCTCTTTCACCAGGAAGATGTGATCTACTAGCATCTTACTAGCATCTTACAATCAAGGAATGTTAATAGCAACAACTGTATGTTTATACTTAAGGTATAAACATATTTACATAAACATTAAATCTGGTTTCCACACATAGACACTTTTCATCTATAGACATAGTATATTTTTAGCTGCTAAGATATATTTAAAGTTAGTGTCTCTTGGTAAGATATTTTCTAATATTTTCTTTAAAATATATCAGATTTATAAGATACTCTCTAATTCTGGCCTGTTGCCAAATAAAGATTTTTGTCAAGAACATTCTTAAGAAGTACCTTTCAGGAATATATTGTTTGATTTTTCCACACATTTCCCAGTTATTGTGTTCTTTTAATTTTTTAGATCGTTGACAGACATTCAAGACCTGTCTAGTATCTCCTATGAACAAGATGGTTCTTTTAAGGAAGTCTCATGCAAAACACCCAGAATAAATCATGCGCCTACTAGCGTCAGCACTCCGCTCAGCCCAGGTAATCACCTGCAGGGAGAAACATTTTGGGAGAGGGAGTGACAGCTCCTGTCACATTGGCTCTGGGAAACCAGAGCTTGGCAGCAGACCTGGTGGATGTTTTCTCACAGTTGAGAGGTGTTTCTTTAGGGCCAAAGCTGAAGGGAATAAGCCCATGGGGTGGTGCTGGTGGTTATTAAACAGCTATAAGGATATGTTTTTACATTAGTGGTAGAGTTGTGCAAATGCAAAGATTACTCTGTACCCTGAACACTATTGAGTTTAGTGCAAATATTGTACATTACATTCTCTAGAGTTTGTGACTTAAAACAGCCCCTTGTGCTTAAACATGCCTAGTTCTGAGTCCTGCAACTATATACACCTGGCATCCATATCCTCTTTCTGGGGTCCGTACTTCCACTATATATGTAGTTCAGATAATCTCCCTTTATTCTGATGACTAAGTTTAGAACTGTCATTTTTTATACTTCAAGGAGCTGTGTCTTGGATCAGTGATTATTTCTGTTATTAACAATTTGGAGAATCGCTGCTATAGTTACAGAGTTGTGTGGGTTTTTTTGTTTTTGTTTTTAAATTAATATAAAGGATCCAGCCCTGGCTGGTGTGGCTCAGTGGATTGAGTGCCGGCCTGCCAACTGAAAGATCGCCAGTTTGATTCCTGGTTAGGACTGGAATCTGGGTTGTGGGCCAGATCCCCAGCTGGGGACCTGTGAGAGGCAACCAATCAATGTTTCTCTTCACACACTGATCTTTCTCTCCCTCTCTTTCTCTCCCTTCCCCTCTCTCTAAAAATAAATAAGTAAATCTTTTTAAAAAGACAATTTTTTCACATATCCAACTGATAATATTAAAATAATAATAATAATAATAAAAGGATTCAGACACTAACTGCCCTCTTTTCTAAAACAGGGACAATTTCTTCAAGTTCCAGTTGCTATAAAGACTGCCTTGACAGCATCACATTTCAGGTGAAAACAGGGTCTACCTCATGCTGGAGAAGTCAAGAATCTACTGCAACTCTGTCTGATAAATTGACAACTGTCCGAGAGAGAGCAAAGAGCCTAGATTCCCTTTTTACTTCCTCTGAAACTCTCCCTTCAAGACTAACTGATCATGTATGTATACTAGCTCTGTGTTATACTCTCATGGAGTCAGCCCAAAGGCTGCAATGATCCGGAGTGCCATGATTTCTCCAAATCCGTTTTACCAAGACAGCAAGAAATAAGCTGGTTTCCCTGGGGCTCCTCTCTGAGTCTTTATTGTGAGATAGATCCTGGGTTTTTGTGCTTGTCTTTCCCCTAGGGATAATGTTTGGCAATTTCTCTGCCATAGCTTATGATGCTGCCTTCACCTGCATTGTCCTTTCTCTCTAACCATATCCTACCCACTTGGGGAGGCCCGAGTTCTGCTTTCTCCTTGAAGCCTTCTGTGGTTAGTTCCCTGAGAGTTTTGATTAACATTCATCTTCTCTCAACTCCTAAACTAATAGTCTCTACTCCATTGTATACTATCTTCTTCTCTCCTCCCCTTCAACCATTATTCTTTTTCTTCTTCTTTTTGTCTCACCCTCATATTTTATGTGTATAGTGCCTTCAAGAAAACTACAAGTTCCTTACTTGGTAATCTGCATTAAGAACCTGTTGTTCTACCCCTTTGCAATGTGACTCTCCCTGTCCTGCCACCACCAAGGCCTCAGGCATGTGAAAGAAACCTTCTTGAGTCCTCTAAACCATTGTCACCCCAAATGACATGTGGAGCAGTTCCTGCTGAGCACTGCCTAAAACTCTGACTCCTAGAATCATAAGTAATAAAATGGTTGTGTTTATTCACTAAAAAAACAAACAAACAAACAAAAAGAACCTGTTGACTGACCATTCTATAGCAGCTTGATTACTGATTTTGGCCCTCAGTGAAAAACCAACTATTATCTTCTTTGGGCATTTGACACACAAAAGGTTCCACTCTAAAGTAGGGCAATACAGAATTTTATGCTTGCGTGCATCAAACTGTTGATGGGGCAGGTTCTAAGTGCCAGGGACCATGTTAGGCCCTCTTCTAGGCATCCAAACGTGAATACAAATGGCATAGTCCCTGCCCTGAAGGAGCTCACCATCTGTGAGAAAAACTGTAACACAGAAGTAAGTTGAGTGCTGCAGAGGCAAAGAGGGGTGAGAAGGCTTCCTGGAGGAGGTGACATTTGAATGAAATTGACTCAGTCAGCAAACAGCTGGCTTCGATTGAAGAGACAGTCTTTTCTCTTAATTTTAAAAATATTTTTATAAGAGTTTATTTGAGCCAAATTGATGACATGCCAAGAGGCAAGAGCTCAAATGCTCCCAAAACACAGCCTTAATGTTGGAAATGATGGGGTTGTATGACTTTTTTTATCTCAATGCATGTGTCAATTACCATATTCATGTCTGTCTTATAGAAAAGATCATCTACATTTACTGGTGCTGGTCCCTCCAGCAATGCTAAGGCACCTGACACAGCATTCCGTGCCACTCACAAAAGGAGCCTGCCAAAAGGTACTGTGTTTAATGTCAAAACACACTCGTAATAGGAAGCCAGTTTACAGGAGCCTTAGACTCATCTTTGATGCTACATTAGATTCAAACAAAAATACTATGCATATTTTCCCCAATTATAAAAGTAAAACACACTCATCGTAGAAAACTTGGAGAATAAAGAAGAGCTTAAAAAAGAAAAGCACTGTATTCTGTCACCATTTTTAACCTCTTGTACTATTTTGATACATATCTTTCTTATATTATTAGAAATAAACTAAAAAATATTTTTAACATAATTGAGACCATGTTGTATATCAGTTCTGTCCTGCTGTTTTCTTTGATTATATATTTTGAGGATTTCCTCTTATCAGTAAAAATTATTTATAAATATATGTAATGGCTAAATAATATTTCATTTTACATATGTTGCTTAAACATGCCCTTACGTTGAAGAATTGTGCAAAAATCTGTATCTGCACCTTGGCTACTTTTCTTGAATAGATTCTTAGAAGACAGTTCCAAACCGAGGGTATGAGGATGTTAACAGCCCTTGAGACAGGCATATTGCCTTTGCCACATTATTTTAATGTCTTGCTTCTTTGGTACAACTCTAGAATCTCCCTCAGGGGAGGATTTTTGTGAATTATGCTGGGGGGTTTTGGTTAATGTTATAATTGAGCACTTAGAGGAAGGCCCAAAGTATGGTTTCTCCTATGTCCTCTGGCTTCATAATTGATAGAGAAAGGCTTTCTACTTTGTGTTTTGTTCATTTGCCTGGTCCAGGGCATCTATATTCCTCCAGCAGCCCTGTTCCAGATTGGGCCTCCAGCCTCTTAGTAAAAATTTGCACTTCCCCTACACCAAATATCCTTGGGGAGCAAGGGGCACAGATTAAGCAATACTGAGGTAGGGATGAGGTAGGCAAGAGTTTGGAGTAAAAGGGATAGAAAAGCTATTCACATATTGGGAGATCTCAACTATAACTGTTAGTGTAAGAAGCCTTCTTCCTGCCTTAGTTTGTTTCATCATTGAGAAATCCTAAGTCAAATCCATGTGGAAGCCTAGAAAAATCCATTGCAGGTACAGGAAGGTGTTAAGTCATTTTCCCTTTTATCTTTTTTTAAGAACTGGTAGAAGCCATCTTGCAGCATCACATTGATGAGCTACCACCTCCATCTCAGGAACTACTTGATGAAATTGGTAAGGGATGTTCAATACACTTTGTGTATTGTACTCATTTGGTGGCCCTCTTAATTGTAGTCACTGACCACAATGTGGTTCTTTGTCTCAGATGTGAGCACTAGTACCGAAGGCCTTTTGAAGGTCTGATTGAATGTATAGAATTCAGGAAGGGGCAATTTTCCAATAAAATGGACCTTAGATTACTGCTGAAGCCTGGCCAGGATAATTGGCCTATGTCTGTTGTCATTTTGTTACTTAGAAGGTACATGGTAATGATTCGAAGAGGAAAAAACAACATTCAAGTTTATTATGATGAACTTCTGCTATTAAAGGAACTGTCTTTTTTTTTAAACCAAGCCAGCCATAGCTTGAAGATCTGATGCCTGACTACCGAGGCCAAGACATGCTGTTCTTTTGTTTGCCATTAGCAGGAGGTATTGAAGGTATTGGCTTTGTGGACAAATCACTTTCCCAAGAGCAGAGAAGTCAGTGGCACAAGACCTAATGTGACCAGAATTATCCTTTTCAGCCAGAAGTTGAGCAATACCAGCTCAATTTTTGTTGTAGCTGATTGGCTGGTCCTTCCCAGCTGAGCTAATGCTGGAAGTAAACATTACAGAGACATTTGGGGTAGGTGATTTGCTTCCCCAGGAAAGACCTGACTGTTCTTTTCTTGACAGACTGGCCAACCAGCCTCTCACTCTCAGAGGACACATCTTATCAGACCTCAGATGGTTCAATTCTTGATATGGTGCTCCTAGAGAATTTCCTGAGGGACATCTCTTTGTTTTCAGGATCTCAGACATTTTATGTCTCATCAGGAAGAGGAAGGTGAATGAGGACTTAACCTGGTCTGACTCAACAGAAAGCTACTGTCTATGTTGTCACAAGCCCCAGCTCCACTGGCCTGATGAACTTGGGTGGAGCCAGTCAAAGCTGCCAGAATCTTCCTTAGATTCATTTTCTGTAGTCATAGACCCTTCTTGCCTCACTGCACCCGTCCTCTGAATTCACAGTCATACAGGTCCTAGGATTTTGGGATCATTCTCTCAGGGTCTCACCCTTACACCGACTTGACTTGTCTTAAATCCCCAGGGAGCTCTTGCAAAGTCCTCCTCTCCAGTTGCTCCTAATACAACGATAGAACTGCTGCTTGTGAGAGTAGAGATCGCCACACATGTCCTGCTAAGGCCTCATCTGTTCCTTGGTGCTGGCTTAAGGCAGTACATGTAGGCCCTTTTGCAGTTTGACTTGAGTGATACTTTTCCTCTAGATTCTGCTGTCTTCCCCATTTCAGCAGCTGTGACCACGCTTCCCCCTGGGTTCCAGCCTCATGGCACTGCTGTATCCCAGTGCGCTCTGCACAAACACTCCCTCATTTTACTTACTGGAATTATCTGGGCCAGGTTTCTAGGTGATGCGTGTACTTTGAGATGGGTCAGTAATTTTCCATATAGAAAAAGGGTAGAAGGCATTTGGGTAGTTTCTCCAAATAATGGGTGCTCCCACCCAGTTGTTGTACATCATCACTCTGTTGTTGCCCCTCAAGAGAGGTTCGGGGAGTGGCCTGGAGCTGACACCTGTGCTTTTGGAGTGCCCACATCCAAAACTCTAGGCTTCTGACAAGGACCTAAAGGGGAGGGTCCTTTGGAACACTATGCGATCCTTTAAGATCAACAAGGGACTACTTTTAACAAGAATAGCATGAGCTTTTTATTTCAAATTATATTAAGTGACCTTATGGGGCCCCTTGATGCTTGGGAGCTACCAGAGCATGTTCCCTGACCTGCATGAGGGAGAGACCTGTGTCTGCACAAAGCAGGGCTGTGCCAGTGAGCGAGCCGAGGGCTCCTGTCTGTGCTGCCTCTCAGCTGTCTCTCTGCTCTGCACTGGGAGCACTTGGAAGAGACCAAGCACCTAGCAAATGCAAAGCAGAGACCTTAGTTTAGCAGATGCTTGTCTTGGTCTAGTGAGAATTCCTTAGGAACTGGTAAGTATAGATATTCTTTGCTCTCTGTCTTTCCCATAAACTAGATAAAAATATGAAATATAGTCCAATAGAGATGGGGGAAATTTGGGGTTGCTCTGATGCTGTTACAAACTGTTTGAAAGATTAGAAAATAGAGATTAAGAGCATAAACCTTAGAGCTAGACTGCCTGGATTCAAATCCTATTTCTACGTCTTACTATCCTCCTTAACCTTTCTTTATTTTTGTTTCCACATCTGTTGAACAGGAATAACAATACATAATGTGACTTATTTCATAGGGTTGTTGTGAGAATTAACTGCAAATATTAATCTTGATTTAATGTAAGTTATAAACTATACCTGCCACATAGGGCTCTGCAAGTATTACCTATCGTCGTCATTTTAATTTTTATTGTATGGGTTTGATGTCCTTAAGCAGTGGTTTTCAAACTTGATCAGGCATCAGAATCACCTGGAGGGCTAGTTCAATAACATACTGCTGGACCCCAACCCCGGAGTTTCTGATTTAGTGGGTGTGGGATGAAGCCTGAGAATTTGCATATCTAACAAGTTCTCAAGTATAGTGTGGCTGCTGGCCCGAGGACCACTTTTTGAGAATCACTGCCCTAGAGAATGGTGTTACATGCAAAGGAAGAAATAAGTTGCCTTCTGCTTTTGTATTGGACAGAGCACTTGAAGCAGCAGCAGGCCTCATCCACAGTGTTGGGTGAGAACACAGCAAGTCCTCTGGGCACCAGTGCAAACGGTAAGCCAACTACCCAGGTATTTCTCATCAGGTTCTTTCTGTGATGCTGCCCTTCGAAGCGTGGACCTTGTGGTCAGGCATAGCTCTGCCTCCATTCTGACTCCATAGCATGTATGGCAAACTGTTTAATGTCTCTGAGCCTCAGTCACCCTCATCTGTAAAATAAGGATGATAATTCCTACCTCATCCCCTGGTACATTGTAAGATACTGAACATATGTTAGTTCCCTTCCCTTCATAGGACTGCTGGCAAGATAGAATGAGATAGCATGTGTAAAATGCCTGGCATACAGTAAAGGGTACTACCCTTCCCCACCCAAATTTTTTCCCTGGAGCTCCAGGCTAGAAACATCTAACAAGTGAGAACAGGGTGGTCCTCAAGTAAATCTGTGCATTTGTTTTCAGGGTCTCTTCCTTCCTCTTTTCTGTGCCCTTTCTTTCCTCTGCTTCCTCTCTCTTGAACCTTGGCACAGGCAAGGTTTCCTGTAGCTTCACTTGGCACTAAAGAGCTCCCAAGATCCCAGAGGCAGCTGCTGTGAATAGAGGCACCCTGCAGACTGCCATCTGGCCCCCTGCTCTCCTGGGAAGAGGGGAACTAGTAAATTGCAGACTTAAGGGGCCACTGGTTAACCCTAAGTTTTTGGCACTCCATTTTAAGTCAGTCTTTCCGAATTATTATTTTTTGTTGTTCAAATAAAGTTAAATTTTTTTAGATCAAAGTCATTTAGAAGAACAAGGAACTAACAGTAAAAAAGAAGATAGCAGCATACCTTGGAGCAAAGAAACTCAGGATCTAGAAGAGGACACAGAGAGGTAACAGAAAAAGCTGGGCTTTTGAAAGGATTTAAAATACTATATTAGTTTGTACTAGTTTTTATTTTGCTACTGACAAATGCAAAGAGAAAACATAGTCTGTCATACTATCCTAATAACCCCATTCCTAAAAGGTTTAAAAGACTTTTTAGATTGCCATAAAATACACATAAAATTTTTAAGTGTGCAGTTCACTAGCGTTAATTATATTCACATTGTTATGCAACCCATCTGCAGAAAGTTTTCATTTTGTAAAACCGGAACTCTACCCATTGAACAGCTCCCCATGTCTCCCTGTCCTCAGTTCCTAGAAACTCCCATTTTACTTTCTGTTTCTACGAGTCTGACTACTTTTTTTTTTTTTGGAAAGGAGGGGCATTTATTTTTACTTATTTATTTTGAGGGAGGGAAAAGGAGGTAGAAAGAAAGGGAGAGAAACATTGATGTGTGAGAGAAATGATGTGCAAGAGAAACATGGATTGGCTGGGGACTTGGCCTGCAAGCCAGGCATATGCCCTGACTGGGAATTGATCCAGTGACTGACCTTTCAGATGGTAGGTCAGAACTCAATCCACCAGCCAGAGTGAGTTTGACTACTTTTGATAATCTCATATAAGTGAAATCATATAATATTTGTCTTTTTGTAACTTACTCCACTTAACATAATATTCTCAAGGTCCATTCACGTAGCATGTGTCAGAATTTCCTAACTTTTCAAGGCTTAATTCCACTGTATGTTTATGTGTGTGTGTATCACATTTTGTTTATCCATTCATTTGTTGGTGGACATGAGGTTGCTTCCACCTTTTAACTCTTCTGAATAATGTTGCTGTGAACATACATGTACAAATATCTCTTCAAGGCACCCTGTTTTCAATTCTTTTGGCTATATATCCTGAAGTGGTATTGCTGGATCATATGATACATCTATTTTTAATTTTTTGAGGAAATACCAAACTGTTTGCCACAGCAGCTGCACCATTTTACATTCCTATTAACAGTGCACAAGGGTTCCAATTTCTCCACATTCTTGCCAATACTTATTTTCTGTCTTCCTTTTTTTTTTTTTTTGATAGTAGCCATCCTAATGGATATGAGGTGATAGCTCATATTGTGGTTTTTTTAAAAAAATAAAATGCATATTTTAATTGCTTGAGTTCACATCTCATAAAAGAAAAAAATAATAAAGCACAAGCCCTAGCCATCACCCCGTTCCCCACCTTTTTCTGTCATGAGTCAAGAACCAGTTCCTGCCAGTGTTTCTTGGGTTCAAAGCATCTCCCTGCTGTAATCTACACCTCGAGTTCCCTACCTCCCACATCCATTGTGGGTGAGAGGGCATGGGCACTAGCCCTCCCCAGGCAGGCCTCTGACCATGATGCACAGCACTCAGAGTTGTTAGGCTTGATGGGAGGGAAGAAGGTGGTTGGGAGATGGGCGATAAAAGCAGCTACCTCCCCACCCCAAACACACACACCTCAGCCTGCCAGGTCTGTTGATTGTAGCACACTGCCAGGGTGAAGTGGGGCTGCTGTCTCATTACTTTTTTAAATTATATTTTATTAATTATGCTATTACAGTTGTCCTGATTTATTTCCCCTTTGCTCCCTCTACCCCCCCACTCCCTCAGGCAATTCCCCCACCATCATTCATGTCCATGCGTCCTGCATATAAGTCCTATTCCATTTCCTATACTGTACTTTATATCCCCAAGGCTATTCTGTAATTACCTATTTGTACTTTTTAATCCCCTCACCTCTTCATCCCTTCTTCCCCATCCCCCTCCCATCTGTCAACCATCAACACATTCTCTGTATCCACGATTCTAACTGTTTTTCTTGTTTGCTTAGTTTGATTTTAAGATTCAATTGTTGATAGATATGTATTTTTTGCCATTTTATTGTTAATAGTTTTGATCTTTTTCTTAAATAAGTCCCTTTAACATTTCATGTAATAATGGTTTGGTGATGATGAACTCCTTTGGTTTCTTCTTGACTGGGAAGCTCTTTATCTGCCCTTCGATTCTGAATGATAGCTTTTCTGGGTAGAGCAATCTTGGCTGTAGGTCCCTGCTTTTCATGACTTTGAGTATTTCTTGCCAGTCCCTTCTAGCCTGCAAAGTTTCTTTTGAAAAATCAGCTGACAGTCTTATGGAAGTTCCCTGTAGGTAACTAACTTTTTTCCTCTTGCTGTTTTAAAGATTTTCTCTTAATCTTTATCCTTTGGCATTTTATTGATTTATTTATTTACTTATTTATTTATTTGAGATTTAGTCACTTTTTATTTAATCATGTTTATTCTATTATAACTGTCTCAGTTTTTTCCCCTTTGCCCTCCTCCACCCATCCCACCCCTCCACCCCGACTCCCACAGTCAATTCCCACTGTGTTGTTTATGTCCATGGGTCATTCATACATGTTCTTGGTCTAGACCCTTTCCCTTCTTTCCCCCATTGTCCTCCTTCCACATCCCCTCTGGTCACTTTCAGTCTGCTCCATGTTTCAATGCCTGTGGTTTATTTTGTTCCTTAGTTTATCTTGTTGAATAGATTCCACTTACAGGTGAGATCATACAGTATCTGTCTTTCACTGACTGGCTTATTTCACTTAGCATAATATTCTCCAGTTCCATCCATGTTGTCAGAAAAGGTAGGAGTTCCTTCTTTCTTTCTTTCTTTTCTTTTTCAATATAGATTGATTTTATTTATTTTTTTAAATGTCAGAATCCATTGTAAAACATTAAATAATTTAAATCCATTATAAAGTCTCAGCAATTAAAACAACATGACACCAGCACAGAAATAATCACTTACATCAATGAAATAAAATGAGCATTCTAGAAACAAACGTATATATCTGTCTAACAATATTATATATGATTAAATTGATATTTCAAATCAATGGGGAAAATAAGGCTTATTCAACAAATAAGGTGCATGGAACACTATTACTTGAAATAAAACAAATATAGAGCCCTATTTCACACAATATACAAAATATATTCAGGTGAGTTACAAATCAGTATGTAAAATCTAAGGAGTTTTTGGAGAAAATACAAAATAAAATTTTTCTTACCCTGAAGTAATATATTCAAACCCAGAAGCTATAAAGTAAAATATTGACAATATGACTATATTAAACATTTAAGACTATATAGTAATATACATATAAAAAAAGTTAAAGGGCAACTAATAGAATAGGAAAGTATTTGCAACACATCTGAAAAAGGGTTAATAGCTTTTAGGGGTTTTTTGGGGGAAAAAATTCTACAAACATTTAATCAAAAAATGGATAAAGAATACCAAAAAGTCATTTAAAGCTTTTTAAAAATAATAGAAATAGGCAAGAAATATACAAAAACAGGTTTAGTTTCAACAAATAATAAAGTAACAAAATAACACATCTTTGTCACAGATTAATAAGTATTAGAAATATTGGTAATATCAAGTATTGGTGACTGTGAAAGGAACTGGGTATTCATAGACTCTTTTTCTTCATCTTCTTAAAGCAGTCCCTGTAGCATATCTTGCAATGCTGGTTTGGTGGAGGTGTATCCTTTTAGCCTTCTTTTGTCTAGGAAACTCCTTATTTCGTCTTCCATTTTAATTGAGAGCCTTCCTGGGTAGAGCAGTCTTGGTTGCAGGCCTTTGCTTTTCATGACTTGGAATATTTCTTGCCGCTTTCTTCTGACTTGTAGTGTGTCTGTTGAGAAGTCAGCTGCCAGTCGTACCAGGGCTCCCTGATATGTTACTACCTGTTTCTCCCTTGCTGCCTTTAGGATTCTCTGTCTTTGATATTTGCCATATTAATGATGATGTGTCTTGGAGCGGGCCTCATTGGGTTCCTCTTGAATGGGATCCTCTGTGCTTCATGGACTTGTATGACTTTTTCTCTCCTCCAATTAGGGAAGTTTTACATCATTACTTTTTCAAACAGGTTCTCTACACCTTCCTCCTCTTCTTCTCCTTCTGGTATACCTACTATATGGATATGACTATATTTAAGGTTGTCCTGCATTTCCCTCAGTGCCTCTTCATTCTTTTTAAGTCTTTTTTCATTTTCTTGCTCTTTCTGGGAGCTTTTTTCCACCTGTCCTCCAACTCATTGATTCGATCCTTTGCTTCATCTAGCCTGCTTTTGATTCCTTCTACTGTGTTCTTCAATTCAGAAATTGTATTCTTCATTTCCTCTTGTCTCTTATTGATAGTTTCTCTGTCCTTTTTCATGCTGATATAGTTTGCAGTAAGTTCCTCGTAGTTTCCCTGTAGTTTTTTGTAATTCTCTCTTGAGCTCACTGAGCTCATTGAGCTTCCTTAGAACCATTGTTTTGAACTCAATTATCTGATAATTTATTTGCCTCTATTTCATTTTGTTCTCTTTGTGGGGATTGCTCCTTTCCCTTCAACTAGGGGAGGGGGTTTCTTTTTCTTCCCATTATTTGTGAGACTCTTCTCTTTGTTTCTCCTTCTTAAATTGAACTGTCTTGACTTCCTGACTTTGTGGTGTGAACTTCTATGGAAGGAGACTGCTGTTTTTTCTTTCTGGCTCTGCCTCTGATGATGTCTGATGTTGACCCTGTGTGACCTTAGGCAGTCTGTTCGAGACTTCCAGGAATCTACTGTCTGTGGCTGTCTCCTTAAGTTGTTAATCTAGTCACTCTGCCCTCAGCAGTCAGGCTTAGACACCACAAGGTGGGGCAGAGTCCCTCCTGGGGGTGGCGTTATTGGGTCCTCTCAGAGCTGCTGCTGCTCAGGGGAGTGATCTGCCTCAGCAAGATGGCTGCTGCCATATGGAGGAGTCAGCACCGGGGTCCTGCCAACCACTCTCCCTGTTCTCTCCTCAAAGCCTCCAGTCTCTTTGCTCCAGTCTCTCCTCAAGAGTCTCTAGACCACTCTGCTCCCCCTTTAGCCAGGGATCTACTATCTGTGTCTGCCACTCTGTACTCAGCAGTCAGACTTAGCGCCACTGGGCCAGGGCAGAGTCCCTCCTGGGGGTGGGGCTATTGTGTCCTCTCATACTGTTGCCCCTCAGGGGAGTGGTCTGCCTGAGCAAGATGGCTGCTGCTTCATGGGGAATGAGTCAGCACCGGGATCCCACTGGCTACTTTCAGTTCTCTCCCTAAAGCCTCCTTCCCCAGTTCTCCTCCAGCGTCTCCAGCACACTCTGCTCCTGCCTTTGCCAGAGACCAGGGTGAGTGGCTGCAAATAAAAATTTATGCATTGGCCCTTTAAAGGCTCTTTGCGTCTCCAGCCACCTGTCTCTGGCAGAGAGCAACCCTGCCGCTTTTCCCAGCTGGTTGTTATCTGTGTACTTTTTGGGCTCTGGTGCTGTAAGCTGGAGATCCCCGCTTATGGTTTAGACCCTGCTCTTCTCAGGGGGTTCCAACTGGCCATTTCAATATCCTTCTGGTGCTGCTATGCATGGGCACCCCGCCAGCCTTCTCAAGTCTCTACTGCACTCCTTACAAGTTAGGTTGTGCTAAAGCTGATTCTTCTGTCTGTCCGGGGTTGTAAGGCTCCTCTCTCACTCTTCAGGGTTCCAGGTGATTTCACCACAATATAGTTGTAATTCCAGATTGGTACTGGGAGGAGGTCAGTGTGACTTCCATTCACTCACTCCACCATCTTGATTTTTCCTATCCTTTGACATTTTAATTACGATGTGTCTTGGGGTGGGCCTCTTTGCATTCATCTTGTTTGGGACTCTCTGTGCTTCCTGGACTTATATGTCTATTTCCTTCACCAAATTAGGAAAGTTTTCTTTCATTATTTTTTCAAATAGATTTCCAGTTTCTTGCTCTTTTCTTCTTCTGACACCTCTGTGATGTGAATATTGGAACTCTTGAAGTTGTCCCAGAAGCTGCTTATACTATTCTCATTTTGGGGGGGTTCTTTTTCCTGTTTTTCTGATTGGTTGTTTTTTGCTTCCTTATGTTCCAAATCATTGATTTGATTATGGGCTTCATCCACTCTGCTCTTTTTTCCCCTCTAAATTGTTCTTTGTTTCAATTAGTGTATCCTTTGTTTCTCACTGGATCTTTTTTATGCTCTTGAGGTCCTAAGTTCCTTGAGCATCCTTATAACCAGTGTTTTGAAGTCTGCATCTGATAGACTGCTTATCTCCATTTTGCTTATTTCTTTATCTGAAGGTTTGATCTGTTCATTCATTTGGGCCATGTTTTTTTATCTCCTCATTTTGGCAGCCTCCCTGTGCTTGTTTTTCTATATTAGGTAGAGCTGCTTTGACTCTGTGTCTTGGTAGTATGGCCTAATGTAGTAGGTGTCCTATAGTGTCCAGTGGCACAGCCTCCCCTATTACCCAGGCTGGGAAATTGAGGTGCGTCCCTCATGTGGGCTGAATACACCCTTCTCTTGTAGTTGAGCCTCAGTTGCTATTGGCAGATCAGTGGGAGGGATTTACCCAGACTGGCCAACTGTGAGAACTGGCTGTGACCACTGACCACCAACCTCTGCCCTCCATGGAGGATCAGCTGTGCAAGGGCAGGGTGGTGGTGCTCTGACATGATTTGTAGCTGTCCACTGGGTAGAGTGGCCCTGCGGTTTCCCATTAGGTGCAGGTGAAGGAGAGCCCCATCTGTGTTTTTCCTGGGGCACCCTGCCTGAACTATAAAGCAATCTGAGATGACTGCTGCTTGTGCTGGGTCTGGAGATTCCCAGGCGAAGCCAAGCTGTGAATCTAGGCTAGCTGCTGCTAGTGCAGAGCCTGCGGCCACTGAAGCCAGCTGTCTCTTGTTTGATAGGATTTAGGAAGTTCTTAAGCAGGAGTCAAAACAAGCCATTCATATGGAAAAGCAGGTTGGGTGGGTCCATAAGTTGGGATTGGGCAAAGTCTCTGGAGATCTCCAAGGTGGGTCAAACAATGTTAGCCAGGTTGATGGAGTCTCAGATACGGCACCAGTTTGCTGGCTCTGTAGGGGGTGGGTTTAGAAAAGGACAATGGCCTCTGCTCACCTTGATCCCAGACACTGCAGTTTCTCCCTGTGTATAACTGGTGCCTTTCAAGCTGCTACTCCAGTGCTGGAGCTCAGAGGGAGTGAATCTGAGTAGGTGAGTCCATGTGTGGGTTTTTTAAGAGGAACTGCTTGGAACTCCAGAAGTTTCTTCCACTGACTCAATCCCCACTGGTTTTTGAAGCCAGAAGTTGTGGGGACTTACCTTCCCGGCACTGGAACCCTGGGCTGGGGGCCCTGGTGTGGCACTGGGACTCCTCGTTCCTGAGATATCCCTCCCAAATTTTTATCTACCACATGTGGGTGTGGGACCAGCCCGTTCCACATCTGCATCCCTCTTACCAGCCTGGATGGATGTGGTTTCTTTAATTCCATAGTTGTCAGACTTCAATTCAGCTTGATTTCTGATGGTTCTGAGTGATGGTTGTTATATATCTTAGTTGTATATCTTAGTTGTGTGAAGAGGCGAGCCACGTCTGCCTATACCTACATCTTGACCAGAAGTCTGTCATTGTGGTTTTGATTTGCATTTTCCTTATGATTAGTGATGTTTAATATCTTTTCATGTGTTCAGTGGCCATTTGTATATCTCTTCTGGAGAAATACTTGTATGTATTCAATTCCTTTGCCCACTTTTTAATAACACCACTTTTTTTTTCCTGTCAATTTTTTTTTTTCCCCGCTTCATTTTGTGAGGCAAACACAGGCTTTGGCTTCTTTCAAATCAGTTTAACTAAAGGTGTTAGAACTGTTAGATCTTTTTAGCCAAATAAAAAATAAGTCAGTCTGCTAGACAATTCAGTCTAGAAACACAGGGTTGCTTCAAGAAACCTGATTCAGAGCTCCCCTTTGACCTGTGTTGTAAGGCAAACCACTTCAGCTCACCTCCTGTGCCTCCTGACTTCTCTTGCCTAGTCCTGTCATCAGGACCAGGACAGTGGTGAGCTGAGTGAGCTATTCCTAGGGAACAAAATTGAAGGAGGCACCAAAAAACTTAGGAGTCAAGATACACACTATTTTAATGCAACACTTTAAAGACAAAATTAATACAAAGGAATCCGTGATGAACAAAATATCTGAATTTTAAAGAAAGACAGTATCTGAATCTGTCCTTGTACTACTTGCCTCATCCTGATGCTGGTCCTGTGGATCCTTAAGGTAGCTCTGCAAAATTCTCTCAGCTGCAATGATAGAAAACCCCACTATCATGCATAAATGCCTTTGTCTCACGTAACAAGAGGCCCTCAGGTTGGCAGGGCATGGCTAGTGTAGTAGCAGCTCAAAGATGCCACCAGAGACTCTGGCTCTTTTGATCTTCTTGGTCTGCCACCTGTAGCAACAGCTCAGCATGCTGGCCTTTATGTCCAGACTTGTCTCCTCCTGGTTGCAAGGTGGCTGTGTCTGCACATCAGGCCAGGGGTGGGGTTGGGGGTAGGACGGCAAGGGAATATTCTAGCTGACTTTGCACTTTTTTATTTGGAAAGCAAAAACTTTCCCAGAAGTCCCTCCCAGCAGATGCCCACTTACATTTCATTGGCCAAATTGGATGCGTGACCATCTTCAGTTACAAGGGAGAATGGAATTTGAACTTCTAGCTTTTCAGCTGCTGTAGAATAAGGCAAGGGAGAAGAGTGTTATGAGTAACTTTTGAGTAGTGAAACATGTTTTTGTCACACTCTTCAAGGGCAAAATTATTCTATATAAAGAAGGAAAAGAGAGACCTGGAAGGGAGGGATTGGAAAGTGGGGAGGAGACCAGAGCCCTGGGGCCTGCAAGGAAGTGGGGGGGGAGGGTTTTGGAGGGCAACAGAGAAGAAAAGGAGGCAAAGAGGAGGAAAATAAGTACATTTTTTAAGTTTTAGAAATTGACCGTAACATGTGATTTGCTCCAGTCCTTCCATCTTCCCAAAACATGTGCAGTAACATTTATGCCATAATTCAAGGCAAAAGAAGAGTAGCTCAAGAAGGCTGAGTTACATTTGATTATATAAAGTGCTTGCCCTGATGACTGATGTGGCCGAGTAGGTTGGGTGTCATCCTGCAAACTGAAAGGTCACCGGTTTGATTACTGGTCAGGGCACATGTTTGGGTTGCAGGCCAGGCCCCCTGTCGGGGGCGTACAAGAGGCAACTGATTGATATTTCTCTCACACATTGATGTTTCTCTCCCTCTCCTTCTCTCTCCCTTCCCCACTCTCTAAAAATAAATAAAATAAAAAACATAAAGTCCTTTGCACATGATGAAAAGTTAGCTACTATTATTGTTGTCTCCTCCTTTTCCAAAAGGGTTGGCTGTGCTGGACATGGACAGATGCCCACAGAGGCTCTGTCATCTCAGTCCTTGGCACCTAGCCAGACTGGAAGATATTTTTCAGATATGTGGGACTTTTCAGGCCTTCTGAAAACACATTCTCATCCTTTAGTCTCAGAGGTAGTTATTAATCCAAAAAAACTTGTAGGAACAGTTGTAGTCTTAGGTGGAAATTGACTTAATGACCAAGAACTGAGACATAGTCTAGCATTAGACTTTGGAAGATAGTGATCTCATGGGTGCTGAAGCTTTTTGTCAAGAGGTTAAAGGAGGGTTTGTGTGCATTCAAATTGAATCTAGGTGACCTCTGTAACTCTTCATACAATCTCAGTGAACCCTTATTTCCTTATATGTATAGTGAAAGCACAAGTTTGAAGTTCCTTTCACACTCTAAAGGGCTATGCCTCCTTGTCAAGGGATAAGGGAGGTGACTGACGTCTCAATTCTCTTTACTTACCCTTGGACAGGGCTCACTCTACTCTGGATGAGGACCTGGAAAGATGGCTGCAGCCACTGGAGGACAGCACAGAGCTACAGGATCTCCCCAAGGGCTCTGCAAGGTTATTTATTGTTCTCCATCAGGAGATCATTTTCTTCTTTCTCTGGGAGGGGGACTAGATTTTAGTTTTTAAAAAATACTTCGAGTCCTTGGAGAATGACTATGTGGTGATGGCATTCCATTGCTCTAGATAAGCCAGCCCTGACTCCTGTCTGCCCCTGTTCCTCCAGGCACCCATGGTGCTCAAGATACTGATTAGCAGATTGGTGTCAGTATAGAGAGAGGCCTCTCAGATTGCTGTATCTTGGCCCTGTCACCTTCAGCATTTTCACCAGCCATTTGAATTAAATCAGAAAAGGCATGCTTATCAGATTTTTAGATAACACAAGTCTAAAATGAATACTAATGTGATGGGTGATAGACTGTGGCTTCACAATGGTCCTGACTGGTAGAAATGTTCAATTTCTCTAAAAGATGAAGCTGAGCATTTGGATCCAAAAGTATAGAATGTGAGAGATCTGATCTAATGGGGAATTTTTGATCGGAAGATCCTGCTCACTGTAATTTCATTGAAGGCAAGAAATGTGCCTTATTTTCATATGCCCAGCATTTAGCATGCATTTGGAGACATGGTAAGAATTCAAGAAATTCTTGTTGAAGAAAGCACGGATGACTCCATGAGGTCTCACTTCGATGTAGTTGCTAAAAAGGTCAATGCAGCTTTAATGAGGAACAGACAGAAATGTGTGGACCAGATGAAGGTAGTATCTCATGCTTGTGTAACACAGTGTGGGGCTCCTTTGTGGCTGTCACATTTTAAAAGAGACATTTACAAACACAAGAAGGCCATCAAACAGTCACAGGTCTGGAAACCATCATATGAGAACAGCTGAAGGAGCTGGGGAGGCTTAGCCTGAGAAGAGCAGATGGAGTGGAAAATTTGATAGCTGTCTTCAAATACCTGAAATATTGTAAAGAGAATCAGCTCACTCTCTTCTGCCCCAAAGGACAGAGCTAGTGACTAGAAATGGCACAGTAAGGGATTTTTATTCAGTAATGCACAAACTTTCTTATAGCTATAGGTATTTGGCAGAGAAAACAGCTGCCTTCACACTTACTTTAACAACAGCTCCCCCCTCCCCCGCTGCCTTCAACCCCTGCAATTTCACCCCCTGTTCTCCCCATCCCCTGCCCTGCAAACACAGGTTGGGTGACTGTCTGGTCCTGGGCATTTGGAAGGAGGTAGAAATAATCTGAAGGCCTCCTCCAGACTCTAGAGCCTAGGATTCTGTTAGGGATGAATGGTTAGGAGGGAAAAAAAAAAAATCCTTTCCACCCTACCTGGCTTTATTTTTTCTCTCATTCACATATTTGTTATGAATATCTATCAACTGAAAATAGAAGAAAAATCTCTGAACAGTGGCAGTTTGGCTTAAATGGCATCATGGGGCATAGACTCTGAGTCAAGTGCTAAGCAAGGTGCTGGAGGTGCAGAGGGACAGAATATTTTTGCCCTTAAGAGCTTATAGCTGATTGGGAAAGATGGTTTCTGCTTCCTAGTTTGACAAATGTGGTCTTAAATTGTTAGATCCTTTAATTAGCTATTCCACTTCAGAGAATTTCAGGAAATGAAGATTAGGTAATGAAGTGGTGGTTGTAAAAGGACACCAATTACAACATGTTTGGTTTTTGGGTTTTTTTTTACTTTTGGACAATATAGCCTAGTGATTGAGAACAGCATCTGAGACAGACTACTAGGTCCCAGCTGTAGGACTTACTTAGGCATGTAATTTAACTTCTTTGTGCCTCAGTTTCATCAGCATTCAGTGGGGATGGCAGTGGTAACTACCTTATATAGTTGTGATGAGAATTGAGTGAGTTAATATACAATATACATTGTAGCACTTGAACCCATAGGGAACACTCCATTAGTGCTAGCTATTATGTTTCCTTTGAAGCACAGTCCTGTTTCCCTGGCCACTGTGCATGTGTTTTGATATGGAAAATCATTGTCATTGAAGGGAGACCGATACCAAGGCTCAAGAAATTGGTGAAAAGAAGAAAAAAGAGGAAAAAAGCATGAAGCCAGAGAGGGCATCAGAGAGCTTTTTAGGGACTTCTGAAGAAGGTATGTATGGATGACTAGTTGTTTATAATGTAGCTTGGAGTCCTTGGGCTTTGATGAATATCAAAGTTATTTAGAAATTTCCCAGATGCTATATATAATCCTCCTACACATCTTCCCTGTAGTTAAGCCCAGGATTTCTGTTAATTATGAATCATGTCTTCACCATAAAAGAGTAACAACATCCAACTTCGTTTCTCAAACAAGCCTTCAGTCAGTCTGATCATCGTTACTTGCATTGTCTGGAAAGATATTTTGCTTCTATTTGTCTAGTTCCTTCATAGGAGTTCTTTATGTAGTTCACACAGAGGCTGAAGAATCTAATAAGAAATCATAAGTTGTGGAATGTAAGTGAATCTACAAGTAATGTGAAAGGTATAAACTAACCTTAATTTCAAAACAATTTCATAGATAGAGCTTTAAGGTGTCGTTCCTTAAATGACAGGCTCCTAAATTTAAGTTCCTTCTCCTCAAGAAGTTAGAGGTATTAACGCTTTCAGATCATCAGGTACCCTTTTCATCCCTTCTCCAGGCCATTCTCATTATCTGGCTTTCCTGCATCTTCCAGGCTTCCCCGCCAGCCGGCCTGCTTTGGCCCATGGGAGGCGCCTGCATATCAGAGGGCAGGAGAGTAGTTGGGGTATTCCTTCCCCTGCCTGCCTAACTCAGCACCTCATCTCTCCGTAGCAGTGGTGTTCCCTGACAAGCACAGCCCATCCTCGCATTCTGGCTCTCACTGGGTGCCAGTAACTGCTTTGCTGTACCTCCACCCTCCAGTCCTTTCAGACTTAGGAGTAATAATGGCTTCCCACTGCTGCTAGTCTCACTGGATGCCTTGCCATCCCTTATTTGCTCCCTTAACTCTGACTCTACCTTTCTAAGTAGTCACTTCATTCAAGGGCCGGGAGTTTCCTCCAGGACTCTGACTGGGACAAAATCCAGAGTGTGTGAGCATTTAGCTAGTGTTGAATTCACTGAGAATATAATGCAGAGACTTTATGAATTAGCATTATAGTGTCCATGGCTATGACAGGGAGCTACAGAATATTAGAAGGGAAACCCATTAGCTGGTTTTAGAAAGATTCTAGTAAAACAGTTTACCCTAAACTAGAGAGAGAGAGCACTAATGGGACTTCTGGATACCAATACCCTTTGACCTAGAAAGTAACCAGATTTTTTTCTTCTTCTTGTATTTCATCAAGAGGAACTGAAACCCTGTTTTTGGAAGCGACTGGGTTGGTCGGAACCATCCAGGTAATGAGATATCAGATGTTTGTAAGTCAAAGTTCACTATTTCTAGGAAATCTGAGCAGACTGTAAAAATGTACCAGCATCTAAATAAACATTAGTGACAAAGACTTGAATGAACAGTTGCTCATTTTTTAAAGTGTTAATGTTTATACTTAAAACATAAGCTAATACAAACATTAACTTTGGTTAAGTAATCGGTACCGTTTTAGACGGAGGGAGAACAGAAGATGCTGCTGTCAGGGGCTTTACAGTCATTTTGCATTTCCATGATACCCTAGTTGAGCATATCTCCCTTCATTATAAAAATCAAAATCAGGTTATTATGCAGCATTACTCCAGTAAATTTAATAAAAGGTTTTTTTTTTTTTAATAAAGAAATAAGAATCCCTTTCCCTTCATGTCAGTTGAATAGAAAGAAGCTGTTGTTTGTGTCTTTTAAAAATGTACAGACCAACTTGAAACCCCCTTTTTTGTTTTTTAAAAACATACACACAGGATAATTGTGTTGGACCAGAGCGACTTGTCAGACTGACTGGAACCGGGTCAGAGATGGACCCCTGGCCAGAGTATGCACGTCCTGCTTGTGAGCTCCCTTCTTCCCTGTCTGATTCAGTCACCGTCAGGGCAGTGGTTCCGTAACTCACACTTTGTTCAGCTGCCACAAGAGACAGAAAGATTTGGTCCTGTCTCTTTATAGCACATGTAGCCATTTATTTTCAGTCAGATTGCTGAAAAGTGAAAGGTGGTGTTGATTGTAAAAATTTCTCATTGTTCTCAGAATGGCTGTGGTTTTATTGACATAGATTTTTGAAAACTTTTACTTTTGTTATATAATAAAATGTTTACTTTTAACACTAGTTGGATTTCAGTTGTGTAAGATATGTTTATTTTAGTTATTGGGAGAGAAACCTCCACCCAAAGAGGCTTCAATTTCTGTTATAAAGTTTGACAAAACCAACATGCATAAAAATATAAGGACTATAGCAGGCATGATAAATGGTGAGTTACAATACTGCAGCATTATTTATTAGTATTCATGAAGGCTGCAAGTCCTCCACAACCTCCCACTGATGTGGTTTGTAACTTTTTGTTTACAAGTCCAGCGGAGTAGACTCTGCTGTCTGTCTAGTGACTATGAAATAATGGCTAAATGTTAATATTAATGTTGGTAGAGAGTGTTTATTCGTTATGGAGCACATATTTCTGCCAGGTAGTTTATATAAATGAATCCTTTTCCTGCACGTGGCAGTCCCACTGTGTTTCTTTAGTATGCTTCTTCTCCCACTCTCAGCAACTCTTACTTCAAACTTCCATCCTTCACTTTCCATTAATATTCAATAAATGACTGACTTCACCTCCAACTTTGCAGAGAAAATAGAAGCCATCAGTTGGGAACTAATTCAGCTTCCCACCACCAAAACTACAAACATGATGGCATCTCTCTGTGTGGACTAAAACAGTCTACCCTGAACAGAGATGGACCTGCTCTATACCTATCATTTTTACTTTCCCTCCTGTTACACTGAAGGAGGTATCTCTCTTCCTGTCCAAGGCCAGTCTCATCTTCTTTGTGCTCAGAGGGAAACAAGTTTGTATTTTTTTTCATCTTTAAAAAGTATTCCTTAGACCCCACCTACTTTTCTAGCCAGTGTCCTATCTCTTCCCTCCTACTTCAATTAGAGTCTTATTTAAAAAGTTGTCTACACTTGCTATCTTTAGTGCCTCAGCTCCCACTCACTCCTTAACCTAACCCACTCTAACATGAATTCTGTTCCTTCCATTCACTAGCAGTCCTAAGGCCACCAGTGACTTCCATATTTCTATCATGAATCCCAGGGATACTCTCATGGCCTCGTCGTCTCTCTGCTCTCTCAGCCTACTCCCTTGGCTTCCTGATGTTACAGTCTGGTTTTCCTCTGGCTCCTCCACCCCAGCCTCCTTTGGGCCTTTGCCTCTATCTTTTCCTCTGCTAAGCTTGTCTCCTGAGAGGCTTTGTTTATGCCATTGCTGCAGTTAGCCTCTGTATGCTGACAACTTCCATGTATTGTAGATCTAGGAACAGACCTCTTCTCTGAGCTCATGTGTCTGCCCATGTATTTGATGTCTCCACTTGGGTTTTTTTCAGGTGTCTTACTGATATACTCAAAACTGAACTCATGGACTTCACTACAAACCATCTCCACCTCTAGCATTTCCCTTCGTTAAGGGTCTTACTGTACAGTCAGCCACTCAAACCAGAAACCCAGCAGCCATCCTTGATTCCTCCCATTCCTTTACTCCTTACCATCAAAATATCAATTGTTCTTTTTTACTTTTTAAAAATATTTTATTGTTTATGCTATTACAGTTGTCCCAATTTTCCCCCTTCCCCCCCGCCACCCAGCTTGTCCCCCACTTCCATAGTCAATCCTTACACCACGGTCCATGTCCATGGGCAAAATATCAATCATTGAGACTTATTTGTGTCACCCTCTAAAGCATAATGTCCCCTGTAACCACTCCTCTCTATGTCTGCTGCCACTGCCCTCATCCAGGCTGCTAACAACTCACTCAGGCAGTTGCAGTAGCTTCCTTAAGTGGCCTCCTGCTCCCAGCCCCACATTCAACAAATCTTTTTTGAATGACTCCTCTGTACCAGACATCACTTTAAGATGCTGGAGAAATAGCGAACAAAGCAGAATTCCTGCTCTCCTTGAGTTTATATCATCAAATGAACGAATAGTTTTAGTAGTGGTAAGTTCTATGAGGAAGATGAATAGGTTAAAGTGATAATGATTGGGTTGGGGCCACTTAACATTGGAAAGGGTATTCAAGGGAAACCTGCTTAGCAGAAGTGGCCTTTGAGCTTCTATTAGAATAAAAAGAGGGGCCAGTCTTTGAGGCTCTGAGAGATTAATGTGCCAGCAAGGAGAACAACACCTGCCAAAGCCCCACAGGAAACACTGCTGGAACAGTGGAAGGTCGGTGTGGCTAAGCCAAGCATTGGGTTGGTCAGAAAGTCCTTTTTAGGCTTTTTCTGTAAAATAAAACACATCTTTTGTTTTCACCAGTAACTATTGATTTGAGTATTTTGAGTATGTTGGCTGTCTCCCACATGGTATAATGTTGATTCTTCTCAGTTAATGTCTTGATTTGGTCCCTATCAACTTCAACTGGTCTGCCTGACCATGGAACATCAGCCAACGAGAAATCTCTAGCACAAAACTTCACAAACCACTTTTGACACGTTCAGTTAGTCACAACACCTTCTCTGCACAAATCTTTTTTTGCATTTCAGTTGTGTTTTTACCTTTCTTGAAATAATAAAGCTGAAAGGCCAGGTCCCCAGTTGGGGGCATGAGAGAGACAACCAATTGCTGTTTCTCTACCTTTCTTTCTCCCTCCTTTCCCCTCTCTCTAAAGTCAAATAAATAACATCTTTAGCCCTGGTTGGTGTGGCTCAGTGGACTGAGCACTGGTCTGCGAACTGGAGGGTCGCAGGTTAGATTATTCTTGAAATAATATTCTGAAAATGTTTCATATTTTCCTCCATCTTTAATATTAAAATGGCTCTACAGAAATTCACCAATTTTAATGTTTTTAATAAATGTTAAAACATGCTGATATGATAGCTGTTACAACACAGTCTAGCAAAATTGTTTTGAATGAAGTTAAAGACAACTAAGCACCTCTAGAGCCCTCTTATGGAAAAAACCAAACCAACTTTTTGGCCAACCCAGTAAGTTCTGGGAAGACTAGTAATGAGGCTGGAGATCGAGGAGGGACAAGAAAGTGGGACTCCAATGGAGGGGACTAAGAACGAGGGTGGAGAGTAAGGTGAAGCTAATTTACTTATTTCAAATATTCCTCTGATATTCTTGTTCCCCTCTTTTTTCCTCCACAATGATCTTTTTAAAATGTTTTTAAATTTTTTAAAAAGATTTTTTTTAGGTGTTTAAGAAAAAACTTATTTATTTATAGAGAGAGGGGAATGAAAGAGAAAGAGAAGGAGAGAAATGTGTGAGATCAGTTGGTTGCCTCTCACACACACCAAAGTGGGGACCTGACCCTCAACCCAGTCATGTACCCTGACCAGGAATCTAACCTGCGACCCTCCAGCTCGCAGACCAGTGCTCAGTCCACTGAGCCACACCAGCCAGGGCTAAAGATGTTACTTACTTGTTTTTAGAGAGAGGGGAAAAGAGGGAGAAAGAAAGGTAGAGAAACAGCAGTTGGTTGTCTCTCTCACGCCCCCAGCTGGGGACCTGGCCTGCAACCCAGGCATGTGCCCTGACTGAGAATCAAACCAGGAACCTTTCAGTCCGCAGACCGGCACTCAATCCACTGAGCCACACCAGCCAGGGCAATTTTTTAAAAAATTTTATATGTCCTTATATTTTAACTAATATTTTAATGTTTTTACTGTATTTTCCCCTTATATCCCACTCCCCACAATCACCACACTTGTCCATGTCCATGAGTCCTTTTTCCTTTTTGTTGTATCCCCCCGCCCCAACCCTCTCCCCAAGAGCTGTCAGCCTGCTCTCTATGAGTCTCTTTCTGTTTTGCTTGCTTGTTTAGTTTGTTCATTAGATTTCACATGTGAATGAAACCATATGGTATTTGTCTTTCTCTGACTGGCTTATTTCACTTAGCATGGTGTCCTCCAGGTTCGTCCATGCTGTCGCAAAGGGTGAAATTTTCTTTTGTATGGCCAAGTAGTAGTCCATTGTGTAAATGTACCATAGCTGTTTTATCTACTCATCTACTGATGGACACTTGGTGAGAATGTGGAGAAATCAGAACCCTTGTGCACTGTTGGTGAGAATGTAAAATGGCACAGTCATTTGAGGAAACAATATGGCACTTCCTCAAAAAATTAAAAATAGGATTACCACATGACCCAGCAATTCCACTTCTGAGTATATATCCAAAAGAACTGGAAGTCTCCAAGAGATATTTGTACAACTATGTTCATAGGAACATTATAGCTAAATCATGGAAGTAATTCAAGTGTTCATTAGTGGATGAATGCCTAAGGAAAAGTATACACATACAATGGAATATTATTTAGCCCTAGAAAGGAAAGACATTCTCCAATGTGCTACAACACAGAAGAACATTGAGGACATTATGCTACCAGTCATTAAAAGAAAATACTGTGTGATTCCACTTAAATTGAAGTAGAGGAGCCAAAAGCATAAAAATAAAGTATAATAGTGGTTGTCAAGTGCTGGGTGAGGGGAGAATGGAGAGTTACTGTTTAAAGGGTACAGAGTTTTTGTTTGGGGTGATGAAAACGTTGTAGAAATGGATTGTGATGATGGCTGCACAACATATTAATGTACTTAATGCCAATGCATTTTACATTTAAAACTGGTTAAATGGTAAATTTACAATATAAAAAATTCATGGGGATGGATGGTGGTGATGGTTGCACAGCAAAGTGAATAAATCTAATACCACTGAACTGTGTGGATTTAAAATGGTTAAAATGGTGTAATACTATATGCATTTCACCTAGTAATTTTTTAAAATTATGAAACAACCGTAAGTGGACTAAGTAGAAATTATGTTATAGATATACATTTATTGACACAGAAAGATGTCCGTAACATATTATGGAATAATGCTGAGAGGTAGATAATAGGATTCCCTTTATGTACATTTATAAATTAATGTCTACATGTGGTAGGTACATAGAGAAATATCTGGAAAGATGCTTTTTTTTTTACTGAATACCTGTTTTTTTTAAATTCTTAAATCATGTTTATTCTATTACAGTTGTCTCAATTTTCCCCCCTCTGCCCTCCTTCACCCATCCCAACCCTCCACCCCCCTCCCCACAGTCAATTCCCACTCTGTTGTCCATGCCCATGGGTCATTCATACATGTTCTTTGTTCAATCCCTTCTTCTTTCCACCATTGTCCTCCTTCCCCATCCCCTCTGGTCACTTTCAGTCTGCTCCATGTTTCCATGCCTGTGGTTTATTTTGTTCATTAGTTTATTTTGTTGAATAAATTCCATTTATAGGTGAGATCATACAGTATTTGTCTTTCACCGCCTGGCTTATTTCACTTAACATAATATTCTCCAGTTCCATCCATGTTGTCAGAAAAGGTAGGAGTTCCTTCTTTCTTTTTTTTTTTAATGTAGATTGATTTTATTTATTTTTTTAAATGTCAGAATCCATTGTAAAATATTAAATAATTTAAATCCATTATAAAGTCTCAGCAATTAAAACAACATGACACCAGCACAGAAATAATCACTTAGATCAATGAAATAAAATGAGCATTCTAGAGACAAATGTATATATCTGTCTAACAATGTAATATGTGATTAAATTGATATTTCAAATCAATGGGGAAAATAAGGCTTATTCAACAAATAAGGTGCATGGAACACTATTAATTGAAATAAAACAAACATAGAGCCCTGTTTCACACAATATACAAAATATATTCAGGTGAGTTACAAATCAGTATGTAAAATCTAAGGAGTTTTTGGAGAAAATACATAATAATATCTTTCTTACCCTGAAATAACATGTTCAAACCCAGAAGCTATGAAGTAAGATTTTGACAATATGACTGTATTATAAACATTTAAGACTATATAGTAATATACATATAAAAGAAGTTAGAAGACAAGTAATAGAATAGGAAAGTATTTGCAGCACATCTGAAAAAGGGTTAATAGTTTTTTTGGGTTTTTTGGGGTGAAAAACTACATTTAATCAAAAAATGGGTAAAGAATACTGAAAAGTCATTTAAAGCTTTTTAAAAATAATAGAAATAGGCAAGAAATATACAAAAACAGGTTTAGTTTCAACAAACAATAACAATTAAAATAACACATCTTTGTTACAATCAGATTAATAAGTATTAAAAATATTGGTAGTATCTAGAAAGATGCTATTAAGATAAGTAGTTCTTTCAAGTGATTTCAGGTTTTTATAATTCTTAGTAAGGTGTTTTCACTTTGTGGTTTAGGTATACTTAGAAGCCAAATCAATAGGAAACAGGACTAGAATGCCATTATAATTAAATAACCATAAACCAAATCAATGTTGTTATAACTTATTTGAAGAAAATCTATTTAACAGAAAGGAATGATCAGTGTAAAGTATACAAAAATGAAGCTTTAGGAGACAGACATGGGATGCCCAGTGAAAGCCTATTGTGGATAGGTAGGTAGGTAGGTGCATGATGGGTATGCCAAGTGCTCTGTATCAGGTGTTACCCTCTTGTGATCATCATGTTAACTTCTTTATCCAATTCCATGTTCACCAGGTAACTTTTGTTCCTCTTGAAGTTGGTTTATACAGAGAGAATGACCTGGATTTCCATCAGCTCAGCAGTTATGTGTCTCAAAGTATACTAGTAAGTTGGTATTCTAGTTTATGTATTGGGTTCTATGCTTGGTTAATGAGAGTCTGTACTAGAGAAATCAGTTGCTGCATAAGAAATCAGCTCCAAACCTTAGTGACCCAAACAATAATAACCATTTATTATTTCTAACAGTTTCCCTGTCAGGAATTTGGAAGTGGCTCAGCTGGGCAGTTGTGGCTCAGGGTCTGTCATGAAGTTGCAGTTAGATGCATTTCCAAGTTGACTCACTCACATGACCGGTAAATTAGTCTTGGTTATTGACTAGGAAGCTCACCTACTTTCCACAAGAATATCCCATTGAGTATCCTCACCACATGACAGCTTGTTTCCCCACAGTGAGCAATCCAAGAGACCAAGGCAAAAAGTGTGATGCAGTGCCATTATATGATCTATCCTCAGAAGTCACATACCATCATTTTTGCTATAATCTATCAGTCACACCGGAAAAGCCCTGATTCAGGATGAGAGAGGACTACATAAAGACATGAATAATAGGAGGTGAGGATCACTGAGTAGGGGTCATCTTGAAGACTGGCTGCCACAGAGCTCATCAAACAAATGGCCATCCCTCGTCACCTGTACCTCACTACATGCCTTCCATTCAAAACAAAACAGTATACTATAGATTTTACATTGTTCATTGCATTTTATCTCCCAGTAGGGAGAGCAAGGGAAGTGGGGGTCAACCTTGAAGAACCCATATGTGTCTCAGGCACAGATTGATTTGAGTTAGACTATTCATAATGAGGAAAATGTCAAGATTCTGTGTTGTGTTTTGCAACATTTCTGCTAAAGTCACCTTTTATGTTTACCTGTATTGAAATTGAACACTGAAAGGGAATATATACACACACACACACACACACACACACATACATACATACACACACATAAATATATTCTCCAACATTAAGAAAATTATAAACAATTATTCAAACAACTGAGCTGATTTTAATAACATCGGAAAAGTGATAGACTTACTGTTACTTGTTGATGAGGAAACTCAAACTCACACTCAAAGTTACAAAGAGAAAATCTTCCTAGACAAACAAATAAACATTATAGTCTCATGGTTAAAGATTACATATCAGTACACCATCGTATTTAAAGTAGAACCTCACAGGAAAGCTTTGTCAAAGTCAGCCAGTCTCAATTTTATGATGACAAGATAACTATAAATCAAGAAGAACCATCTTCACTTCTACTTGCTTACCCTTAGTGTCTTCAAGATACCTGACTTGTAAATGTTCTCCCATTTTTTTCTATTAAAAAAAATTTATATAAAGGCAAGCTAAGTGTTTTACATTCTAAAGACTTGTGTAAGTAACTCAAAATTTATCAATCTGTTGAGATCCCTGCTACCTAAAAGTTCATTCTTTCAACTTTATCTTTAGTCAAGGCTGAATTTAAAGATTCAGAGACAAGAACTCTGACCATGCTATAACTGTGGTGACCCGTCAGAGTCAATAGTGAAATGTGGGATATGATAGAGTCTGTGTCTGAAAGAGACAGAGACAGACACACACAGAGAAGCTTATGAAAGGGAGAGAAAGACAACTGTCTTACCCAAAATGGTCATCCAAGTAGGAAAGTCACTCTTCAAATAAAGAACCAGAGTCCAGCTCATGAGGGTTGCTGAGAGAAGAGAATAGTTGGAAAGGATACTAGCGTTTATTGTGTGATACCTACCTACTAGGCAGTGGTTTCTAGTTTAAGAAAACAAGGCTCAGGCAAGCCAAGTAACTTGTTCAAGGTGCACAAGTAGTCACTAATGGTTACAACCAATGACTAACTCCAAATCCATTTTATAATCCTCCCCTCATTCCCGAGCCAAGGATGTGAGAATTTATGACCCTGAATTTTTACGCCACAGTCAACCAAACCACCTGCAAAACCTGGAAAAGTTTGGACTTTATTTTTTGACTTGTATACAATGCAGTTCCAAACCAAATTGGGACACATTTGGACCTTGCACCTTATTAAGACTGGGATTAATACAGCATGACTGATTTGAATAGCCTTGCCTTAGTAGGCTATTTTGGCTGATTCCTTTTCTAAATGAGTTTTTGAGAATTCCCAGAATCTGGGGAGAGTACAGGAAGGTGTGGAGCCTTCCCCACATATCGGGAATCCTATTTTGCTAAGAACTTGGCCAAAGCCTTCGTGGTGTCAACTCCAAAGACAAATCCAGTTTTCTTGCAGTTTCTGCTTGAGATTCTCTGAAGAATTGTGGCTATATGCCAGGATGTTTAATAGGAAGCTCCTTTATGACATCACCAGGCAGGTAGCTAAGGGGACTATTTGAGAGCAACAGCCACTTTTGTGGGAATGCAAGAACAGCAGCTTTTAAAACTGAGGGTAAATATTCAGGCTTCATTAGGACCCTGAATACAAGCCAGCTGGTAAAATATGGGTTCTAACCAGAGAGTCAGCCCTTATCAAATGGTTAAGATGAATAAAACTGGGCCCAAGGTAACGGTTTCAGCACAGAAAGGGGCTGAGGTTACTAACACAACCCCTCAGCGGGGACATGGGTCCATTGCTGTCTCAACCCAGCGAAGTGCTGCAGTCTCCAGCACCCCTTCTGTCCATCAAAAGTCAGAAGCTCGGCATCCCATCATTCCCCCTTCATCATCACGCTATCCTCGCTCTGTCTCCCTCCAAGCAGGACCTGGCTTCTCTGGAGCACCCACCCGTGGAGGAACTGAGAGCCGATCAAAATCAGAAGCATATCAGCATTCCACTCTTCAGCAAAAGATCCAGCAAACTCAGACACCACTTCCCCATGCTGTTCAGACACAGCAGAAGATTAGTCTATCCAGAGAAGAAGCAACACGAAAAGGGGGTGAGAGCAAGTCAGGGCGTGACAGTAAACATTACTCATTAATCCCAGATGCCAAATCCTTTCGCCAGTTGGTTTTTCTAGACCAGAAGAATAATAAACAAATCTTACAAGAAGAAGACCCACCCTCCAAGGTCCAGTACCCACAAGGGGTCAGAGTTTCCCGTAAGTCTTTGGTTTCCCCAAAGGATGAAGCAGTCCAAACTGAGCCCATCCGAAAGAGTGTGACTGCTGCTGAGGTCAGATTTTCAAGGAGAACCTCCAGCCCAGAACATGGCAACAGGCTCATCTTTGCAGACTCTCGAACAGCCCAGAGGAGGATCCCTGGCCAAGAGTCTGAAACAGGTCTTCGCAACTCGACTCATACAGAACCCAAGGCCTTGCATAGGAGCAAGAACTTGGAATCATCCCTCACACTCTCCATCCTTAAAGATGTGGGTAGTGGACGCCAATTTTCTGTGCGTACAGAGCATGAGCCTATCCACAAGCATTCTGCCTACACCGAACCCAGCCCCCCCGCAAGAGTTTTAACATCATCAGAAGTGGAGTCCAACATAAAGTCGCCAGTGCGAGGAGACAGCGAGACCAGCCGCAGAGTCATTATCTGCTCAGAAGCACAGCCAGCACAGACAGCTCACCATGTGACATCTCGAGCAGGAACTGAGAGCCCCCGCAAGTCTTTCATGTTTACCTTTCCCGAGCCTGTCTATAAGCAGCACACCTGGAGACCCTCAGAAAGTGTCCGCACGTCCCCAGGATACATACTCAAGCATCCAGATCCCTCCCCAAATTCTGTTCGTGCCAAAGTGGAACTGACCCCTCGGCCCTTACCCCCTCGGCCCTTACCTAAGTATGGGCCTGAGTCCTCATGGTGGACCTTACTCAATACTGAAGTTGAAATGCCCCAAAGCCAGCTAACAACATCTGATTTCGAGGCCAAATCTCTCCCTCCCATAGACTATTCATTATCCTCTTTTGAAATTGACTCAAGCCCTTTCTGTGAGGATATGATGTTCCTGAGAGAGAAGACAAGTACATCACCACCACCTGCACCAGCGACACCACCACCACTGCAATCACCAAAGGAGTCTCCAAGCCGGCCACTATTGAGGGGAGTGCCACAGGCCCCCAAGTGCACCTCCAAACAACCCACTCAAAGGTTTAGTGCTTTCTTCTTGGGTATGTGAAGAAGCAGACTGCCCAGGTGCAACCCCGAATTAGTAAGGTGGGACACGGGCAGGGAAGGCCCCCTCTTCATTCTGGGCCTCAGAGCTGCTCTCCTGCCAGTGCCAAAGCTAGACCCATCCTTGAGCCCATTGCTCCATTCCTCCCCCTCCAGCGTCTCTGAGCTCCAAGCTAATGACATCGATGACGATGCTTGGGTCGGCGTCAGGCATTGACTCTTCCAGGCAACGCTGCTTAACTTTTCAATAGAAGGTAGTAGAGAGTGGCTTGCAGGGTGGGGAAGCTGCTTCCCAAGAGTGAACATGAAGAACTGAGCTGGGGTGAGGGATGGTAAGGGCTAGTACAGAGAACAAGCTCCTCAGGTAAATATTCTGGCAATAAAATGGAGGATGTGGGACATAAATGAGCTGGGACTTAAGACTTCCAAGAGGGGAAAGGCATTAACAGTGGCACAGAGGGTGGAAGAAAAAGGAGAGGAAGGGTAGGAAGGGGACATTTAGTCCTAGACTGGAGGAGCTTCTTGGAGAGGATCGATGGCATGAGGGCACCTTTGGGTGGAGAAATATGGAGCTAGAAAGGGAGCTAGATGTTAAGTAGAGGGGGAAAGGGAGTGTGCATTCCACAGAGAGAAAAGCACCACTCTGTTACTTTCAGATGTCTCTGAGGAAATGTACAACCGTGTCATCTGGTGGCTAAAAGGTATGTGCTTTTCCCTTCCTGTGGGTACATTGCATGGATCTGGGCGGCAGGACAACAGGTGGGAGGGTAGCCTCAAGGTATGTACAGAGCTAGGTCTGTTAGGACACCTTAGAGAGCAGAGGAGCTTTATCTTGCCTGATATTCTACCATTAATTATTCCTTTGGGACTTGGAACCCTTTTCATTTTCAAGAGTCTCCTTTTAAGTCTGCTGTTAATGGGAAGTAGTCACTTCTGGAATGGAGAACAATATAAGCCCTTGGCTTTTCGGCTTAGCTGATCTTACCTATCATGCGATAAACCCAGCAAAACAAATTACTTGCTTCACAGTCTTACTCAGAGCTGACTCCACACTAATTCAGGTTGAGGGGTCTCCTCATGTGTCTCTCTGGTTCCTCAGAACTCTCCTTACACCCCAGTTCCAGGACATAGGAGGTACTTACTGGCTGCTGCTCAGCAGGATTCCCGGGCATGTCTGGGCCTCCACCTTGAGGCCATCAGTGAGCCCTGCAGCCAACTTGAAAGTCCTTAAAAGAAGTGTCTTCAGGGCTTGGTGACCCCCGGGCTCCCCTTGTATCTTAACTTCTCTGGTGGGAGGGGAGGTAAGGACCAGCCCTTATATGTGAATCTTAGTGGCAAGGAGTTCTGCTTCAAGCATTGTGGTCCAAAATACGCTCCAGCCCTGAGAGCATGAGGGATGCCAGGGCTCTGGGTAAGGAAATTCGTAAGGAAGAGAGAGCCTTGGGAATGCAGTTGGATCCCAGCCAGCATGAGCCATCAGCAGAGAAGGGCAGCCCTGCCCCCCAGAGGGAGCAAAGCTCTGTGAAGCACACGTTTAGTGGAGTATGGATTCTGGAGTTACATTACTGGGTTTGAGCCCTGTGTCCACTATTTTCTAACTATGACATTGGATAAGTATTCCACCTCTCTAATTACTAGTTTTTCCCCATTGGTTAATGGGAACAATGGCTTCCTCTTAGGGTTCTTGTGAGGATTGACCAAGCTATTATATGTAAAACACTTAGCCTGGTATAAGACCTGGCAACGGTGGGCTAATGCTAACCAGGAAATGCTAACTGCTGTTATTTGGGCCACTCATAGTAGGAGGGGATTTAGGCCAGGTTATGCACAAGTCCACTGCACATCTTTAGTAAAATTCTCTTTTTTCCCCTCCTGTTGGCACTCTCTGAATTCCATTTGCTGCCCACTGGGAATGCCTGGCTTCTATGTCTCCACTGTGGCAGATGAGGAGGTAAGAATGCTCCTGGGAAGTTACTTCTGGTCTTCCTGTGCTCTCCCCTTATCCAAGTCCCTGTCTCGCCCTCTGATGAAAGCAGGTATGGAGGGAAACAAACAAAGCTGCTCCCTATATAGTTGGGCAGGTTGTTCACTGCACAAGGGCACCTGGCAGAAGGCAAGTGGGGTCTGAAATCTAGCCTGTGTTCTACTTGCCAAGTTGTGCTCCTGTGGGGCTGCATCTCCCCGAGGGGAATTTGCATGAAAGTACTATAGGAGCTAGTTTGGAGAGAGAAAATAAAGACCTTTTGGCAAATGATGAATCCTGCCAATCCCTCCCACAGTGCTCTGCGAGCAGGCTGTCTGGGAAGCTGTAGGTTGGATTGGTCCCCACTTGGCTCTCCCCTCTCCAGCCTACGGCACTCCAGAAAGGGGACGGTTTTCTGGGTTACACACTATTTGAGTCCTCACCTTGGAAAGCCACAAGGTGAACTCTGCTCTCAGCAGCCCTGTGTCCTGAATTTGGCAGTGTCCTGATTTTATAGTGCATTGTTCCCATAAGTACTTTAGCTCTTCTTGGCCTGTGTTTGATAAGATAGTCCAAGCTCTTCCTGCCTCCATCTGTCTCTTGCCATCCCTCTTACCCAAAGCCTAGCATGGCCTCTAATGGGTCTCTCCCATGGGCTAGCTCAGGATGGACAGTTGACTACAGATGAAACGCAAATGGGGGGAGGGCAGAACAGCCCTGAGCTCAGATGATGGAACAGCTGCAGAGGAGGTGCCAGAAATGCGGCTGCCACCCGCTCTGCCATGGCTTCTTATCCAGCCCTGTTCCCTGTGCTCAGCTGTGTGTGGGAGCAGCTACTTTGAGAGATTAGCTCAATGCAAGACAGTAAATCCTCCTCTTCCTCCCTTTCTCTCTCCCTTTCTTCCTCCTTCTCTCCCTTCCACAAACAATTTTTATTTAGATGCCTACACTTTGCTAGGTACTATTGGGGAAAGCATTGAAGCCTCACAGCACACACATTCCTTGGCCTTGAGAAACTTACCATCTGCATGGGGAGATAAGACAGGGACAGGAAACAACATCAAGTAGTCTGCGCTCAAACTTCCAGATAAATGCAACAGACTTAAAAGGTGCTCCTGGAGAGAAGGAGTGAGCCTGGAATTCAATGGGGTCAGGTTACCCCCTCCTTCCCAAAGCTAGGGAGTATCTTAACAGCTAGCCTCTTGATCACCCCTTGATGCAAATCTATACCTTTGGGAAGGAATATTTCCCCTATTTCAGGATATGATGTTTTTGATTGAGCAAGTTCCTCCCTATTCTGTCCCATCTTGTTTTGGTTTAGGAAGTCAAACGCTTTGGCAGCAGGACAGCTCCTTCCCAAAATAGCTCTTATCCTGTCTGGATAATTGCGGCTCTCCAGCCCCGTTCGGTAGCAGACTGCTCCCCAGAAGCTGGAAGAGAAGACTTGCAGGCAGCAGGGCCTGCTGGTCTTCCTGGCTCTCTGGAAGTGGCGTGGCATGGGAGTGGGCCAGGTACCGTACTCACCAAGTGAGAGAGCTAGGCCTTCCCTAGCTGGACTCCCTGCCCCTGGCTGCAGGGCCCACAGGCAGCCCCGGGCTGGAGGCCCTGTGGTGCTGGCATCCAAGGCCTCTGGTTTCTCTGATCTGGGAAAGGTTGGCTGTGGAGCCTGTTCCTTATTCTACTCCCAGCAGGAATTCTCTCAAGGCCCAGCCACAGGGCCTGGCTCGTGGACGGCAGCATGCCTGTTTTTGAGCTTTATAGACCCTTCTGGGTCCACAGCTGGGGATGGAGCATGATTCAGCTCGTCTCTCTGTGTCAGTCTCCTCCCAAGCAGTTCCTCAAAGTCCTCCTGTCTAAGGAGTGAGGTAGACAGATACTTCTCATCCTTGGACTGGGACATTAGGAGCTGGAATCTTTGCAGAGGAGGTTGTGTTGGACTGAGGGATGCATTCCTGATGGGTTTTTTTGGTTTTTTTGTTTTGTTTTGGATATCAGAGCTAGCCAAAGCTCAACAGGAAGGTCCTGAGGGTGCCTTATGGGGTCAGTGGGAGCTGTCTTCTCACACAGCCCTAGGGGAATTCAGTGGAATAAAATAGTTCTTGATGGGAGGGGCTGCAACGCCCATGATGGGATGGGGCTGCCCTGGCCCCAAGATCCTGTGTCCTAAAGGCCCCAACCTACTTGCCCTTGGATGTGACTTCTCAGGATGTCAGTGCTCAAGGTGGTTTACTCCCTGCTCTATCTATCAATTATTCAAGAAACCAACTCTGGAAAACAGGCCAGGAACCAGAGGAGGCTGTCTCAGTGATACCTAAGGTAGACTTGGGTATCTTTAGGGTGACGTGTCATTTGGCCCCTGGGAGGTGGTACAGCCAGCCTCCTGTTGGTTCCTGAGACACGGAGATGACTGCTCATGGAGACTTCCTAGATGAAGCAAACTCTGGAGCCCAGGAGGAATGCAGAGAGGCTCTGCATTCATGGGGATGGTAATTGAATCCTAGGACAAGGGCTGTCAGAAAGGAACCCTGGAACCATCTTTCCTACTCCTCTCATTTTCTGTTGCTTTGCACAGAGGCTCGTAGTTGAAAGGAAAGGGAATTGTTGAAAGAATAAAACAGAGATGTGGAAAATGGGACAGGGCACCTCAGGAGGCTTTTCATAGCAGCTTGACCCTCACCACATGGCTTCTTTTTCTGTCAGATGGTACCTTGTTCATTTCCAGGTACCATGGGCAGTCAAGCCCAGAGCAGGATAGGAGGCTGATGACCTCTGGCCTAGACTTGCTATTCTGGGGACAGGCTAAGTTGACCAACTCATCAGGGTTCGCTCAGAACTTTTCTGGTCCTAGCATTAGAAGTTCTGTGTCCTGAGAACTCCTTTAGTCCTGGGTAGAACAGGGCAGCTGATCACCCCAGGACAGGCGGGGATCCAGCGTGCCTCAGCTGGAGTGACCGGAAGCACAGGGCAGAGGGATGATGTCCTTCCGTCATCGGAAGCCTGGGCAGATTGCTACCTCTGCCTACAAAATGGGGGCAGGAAAATGCTCTGCCTCCTCCTCAGGCGTGATGGCAGAACTGAGGCCAGAACCCCTTATTGTTCTGCCCAGAATGATCCTACATATGGAAGAATCTGTCACATCCATTTTGGACTTTCTGGTATGTTTCCAGAAGCTCCTTGGTTCTCTGCCTGGAACCCATCTCCAACATTATGGCTTTCTGTCAGAGTCCTTTGGTGATGTTTGAAATGGTGAGGTTTGTTTGTTTGGTGTTTTTTGTTTGTTTGTTTGTTTTTGGGGGGGTTTTGTTGTTGTTTTTTTTTTTTTTTTTTTTTTTGTCAAGAAGAGAAACAGGGAGCCTGGCTAGATTAGGGAGCTTGGTTTCAGAGGCGAGAGCACATACTTGGGCAAGGAAGCAAATTGGTAACACAGAAGCCACCCAGGCAGCTGCTCAGCCAGAGGAGGGCTGTCCTGAGTGACAGAAATGACCGTGTCCCTTCACCCTTTTCTGTTCAGCTGCTTTGTCCCAGCTGCCATGAAGGGGAAGCACCAGACAGCTGCACCTGGGGGCTGACTGAAGCCCTGGAGGAGGGGGACAGAATGCGAGGCAGTTCCTGAGGGCAGCCCAGGCTCTGACACTGTAGGTGGGAAGACTGGCCAGCCAAAGTCATTTCCTGAGCGTACCCACCACAGGCAAAGTCATTAGCTCCAAGAGTCTCCATAGTGGCTGTTTTGGGGAATTCAGCTCAGTGAGTCTGAAACCAAGACCCGTTTTTTAAAGATGGAGTGGCGCATAGCTGGAGAAGTGGACTCCACAGTTGGTGGCAGCATGGTCATTCCCATGTCACTTTAACCTAAGGCTCTTCTATCACCCTACACTCAACTCACTCGCACAAGCCTGACCCATTGGCGGGAAGACACTTGAAATAGTCACAGTTGACAGTTGCTGGTTGGGTATTGGAAATTTTCTCGTTAGCTGAGGTAATAGCTAGCACTCATTTTAGTGGTTATTCCATCCTAAATGTGTTGCTTTAGTGAACCGTCATGGCTCTCCTATGAGGTGAACTTTTTCCTCCCTATTTCATGAAGAAACAGAGGCTCAGAGCTGGCTCACCAAAGCTGAGAGCACTGAGGGAGCATCCTGCCTCAGGGATGCAGGTGTGGTGTAGAAACCCTTCTTCTGTAGCCACATTTTCCTGGAAAATAACTTCTCAATACTTCTACAGCACCTTCAGAGATCAAGAATGGTGAAGGGAAAGGTTTTAGTGGGGGTAACATACATGTCTTTGCATGTGAACTCTGAGGCTGGGCGTTGAGTGTGAGCTGGTAAGCAACCAGAATGAAGGGCAGGTTATGGGGTCAAAGAAGCCCAGAGCCTCAAAACTTGTCTGTGTTCCAAAATCAGAGTGGAAAATTAATCGGTAACTCCTTTCAGTCAATCCATACTGGCCAGACATCTCCTGGGGGCAGGGGCCCGGTCTCTCACCCAGGCAGATGTCACATCACATGTTCGCTGAACTGAAGTAAATAGAGGTTAAAATAGAAGACATACTCCCTGTCCTTGAGAGGCTTGTGGTTAATCTGGGAGAGAAAAGTATAAAGGTGGGTCACTTGAAAGGGTGTGGACATCAAAAGACAAAACAAAGTCCAGTGAAATGAGTGAGTAAACCTTCTGGCATGGAGGCACTTGGAAAGTAAAGGTAAGGGGGAGTAAAAGGGGGAGAAAAAGGTAAATTTCAGCCCAGTATAATGACCTTGGTAACTCGCTGCCCAAATATGGAAGGGCAGTTGTTAGAGTCAATGAGATTTTGGCCACAGGAGGTATTCAAGCAGAGGCTGGGAGGTCAGAGGGTCCTTGAAGGGAGTCAAGTCTCCAGTAGGTAATGGCATTGGGATATGTAAGCCCCCTCCATCCCTGAGCTCCTAGGCCCTGCCGTGCTGTAGAGAGGGTATTGGAAGGGCCCTTGGGCTGGCTTCTAGCATCCTGCCAGCT